GTCTCCTCCTGCGTCCTCTCTTCCTGACGTTCCTAACCTGCCGTCAGACCTTGCTCGTGCTGCCAGTCCTACTGTCACACGTCTTCTAGCCCCTGTTGTCACTGACCCTTCGTTTGAGTCCACTGCTGCGTCTGCCCTAGTTGCTGAGCTTGTTGACTTTGCTGCCGCCTGTCGCCTCGACTACGCCGCTAGTCTTGTTGCTGAGTTTGAGTCTGTCGGTTTCCGTCCGTCGGGGGTGAGTGTGCTCTTGGCACGGACGTCCTTGAGGACAGGCAGGAGGACTTTGAGTGTTTCGAGGCTGCTGTACCTCATCTCGTGTCCATGCTGATTGCACCCGAGGGAGACCCGGATGCACCAGACATCCCGACCCCGCGCTCTTACGCAGAGGCGATTGAGGGTCCCTACTCCTCTCAGTGGCAGACAGCCATGGCCGCAGAGATGGCATCCTGGAAGTCCACAGGCACTTACGTCGACGAGGTTCCCCCTCCTGGGGCGAACATAGTCGATGGCATGTGGATTTTCAGGGTGAAACGGCCGCCGGGTTCTCCGCCTGTCTTCAAGGCGCGTTACGTTGCTCGAGGCTTCAGTCAGCGACAGGGAGTTGACTTCTTCCATACCTTCTCCCTACCCCGAAGATGACCACTCTTCGGGTGCTGCTGCACATCGCCGCTCAGCGTGACTACGAGCTTCACTCTCTTGACTTCAGCACAGCCTTCCTACAGGGCAGCCTGCACGAGGAGATCTGGTTGCGCCGCCCACCTGGCTTCACTGGGTCGTTTCCTGCAGGTACCCAGTGGAGCCTCCGGCGGCCAGTCTACGGTCTCCGCCATGCGCCTCGCGAGTGGCACGACACACTGAGGACGACGCTTGCGGCTCTTGGGTTTGCTCCTTCGACTGCTGACCCGTCGCTGTTTCTACGCACCGACACTTCGCTGCCGCCGTTCTACATCCTCGTGTACGTCGACGACTTGGTCTTTGCCACTGCTGACACTGAGGGACTGGCCCTCGTGAAGTCGGAGCTGCAGAAGAGACACACGTGCACAGACCTGGGTGAGATGCGCAGCTATCTTGGCTTGCAGATCACCCGGGACAGAGCACGGCGCACCATTACCTTGACTCAGTCACACATGGTGCAGCAAGTCCTTCAGCGCTTCCACTTCACGTACTCCCCGCCACAGTCCACTCCTCTGCCTACCGGTCACTCGCTCTCAGCTCCACCTTCGGACGAGTCCGTAGAGCCGAGTGGCTCGTATCCAGAGCTTGTGGGCTGCCTCATATATCTGATGACCTGCACTCGACCTGACCTTGCCTACCCTCTTAGCATCCTGGCACGCTACGTTGCGCCCGGGAGACACCGACCAGAGCACTGGGAGGCCGCTAAGAGGGTGTTGCGCTACTTGTGCAGTACGTCGGGCATGGGGCTCGTGCTTGGAGGACGGGCTCGAGTTGTCCTCACTGGTCACGCAGACGCTTCTTGGGTTGACGACTTGGCTACGCAGCAGTCGTCACAGGGTTACACTTTCAGCCTTGGCTCCGGCTCTGTTTCTTGGCGGTCTACCCGCTCGTCTTCTGTTCTCAGTTCCAGTTGTGAGGCTGAGATCTACGCAGGGGCCATGGCTGCACAGGAGTTACGCTGGCTCACCTACCTGCTGACCGACTTGGGAGAGCCGCCTCGTTCTCCTCCAGTTCTGTACGTCGACAACAAGGCCATGATTGCCTTGTGTCAGGAGCACAGACTGGAGCACAGGACGAAGCACATCGCTCTGCGTTACTTCCTTGCTCGAGAGTTGCAGCAGCGTGGTCAGCTTCGTCTTGCTTACGTGGCCTCTCGGGCCAACACTGCTGATATCTTCACCAAGGCTCTTCATCCTTGTGATCATCAGCGTTTCTGTACTGTTCTAGGCCTTGTGCCTACTTGGCCTCACTTCCCACTTCTTGACTTTGCTTGTACTGTGATCTATATACATATACCTGCATGCTTACACTTGCTAGGTTTTGATCACTGTGCTGTTTGTTCTCCATTATATAACTCTGCATGTGAACTGGCCTTGTGGCCATTTGCTTGTGCTCAGAGTGTGTGGTGACTTCGTAATCCACCCTGAGCTTGCTTTGCTTTTCTTGACTGGTCTTGTGACCTCTTGTTCTCCCCCACTTTGCCTATGGGGGTGTGTCAAACTTATGTGTTGCATGTTGTGTAGGCTGTAGCGGGGTAGCCCATATAGGGTACAACCCAATTAGGGTTAGTACTTGTACCCACCTTGCTGCTAGTTCATCCATTCCTGTTCGTTCATTTCTGACAAGAACAAGGTACGACATTTAAGGCGCCTCCATATTTGCATCCTCGTTTACAAACATCCGCATCCTGTGATCGTGACAGTATTGAGACCAGATATGGGAGAACGAGAGTAGGGTTTTAAATCGAGGAATGGCCGTGTCTTGCAGTGTGTGTTGTTTTCAATCGAACCGTATCTGTCAGAGACCCACTCCCTTGCAGCGCCTACCTGTTTGCATGTATCGACTGTCGACCAGACAGATCGCACCTCACAGCATACACGACTTATCCACCCTTAAGAACGAAGTTGAGAATATCGGCAATGCATGACTCTGCTGCATTTTAAAGCATGCATGCATGCATCACCTGCCCTCGGGGATGGCATTGAAAATCCTTACCACATCACAGGATGGGGAGCAGATGGGGCCATAGGCATGCAGGGAATACATGCACGGCTCACCTCGTAGAGCAAGCAGCTCACTTTGCTGCACTGCTCACTTTGCTGTACGGCTCACTTTGCTGCACTGCTCACTTTGCTGCACTGCTCACATTGCTGCACATCTCACTTTGCTGCACGGCTCACTTTGCTGCACTGCTCACTTTGCTGCACGGCTCACTTTGCTGCACGGCTCACTTTGCTGCAAGACAAGCACAACTCACCTGCCCTTGGGGATGGAGACGACGTCGTAGGAGAGCAAGTAGATAGCACCCGATGCATACAGGTGATACTCCGACCCCAGCAGCCATGCCTGGGGCTCAAACCTGCACATCAGAGCAAACCACAAAGATCGTTTCGTTTTAGGCGCCGCAAGGGAGGCATACAGGTGATACTCCGACCCCAGCAGCCATGCCTGGGGCTCAACCTGCGAGGAGCAAAACACAGGAAGAAAGGCGGGAAGGAAGAAGGTGAGCAGGTAGAGGGCAGGAATGAGTACGAGAAGAGCAGGGAGCAGGTGAGAACGAGAAGAGCAGGGAGCAGGTGAGAACGAGAAGAGCAGGGAGCAGGTGAGAACGAGAAGAGCAGGGAGCAGGTGAGAACGAGAATAGCAGGGAGCAGGTGACGATTAAGTTGTTTTGAGACGTCTCAAAACTCGATTAAGTTGTTGCATTGTTGTCGAAAACAGCCGGAGAGGTTGCCTGAGTTGACGGCAATATTAAACACTAGAAATATCAGACTACTTTAGAGACTGAGTACACTGCATGCTGCATGGACTAAGAAAGCTGCCAAAAGGAGTGCCAGAGAGCGTGATCTAGGTGTAATATGGCAACTCACCACCTCTTCTTGGGGTCAGTAATCACATTTCCCTTTTTGAAGCATCCAAGGTACGTTCGAGGTGACGCCCTTGGCTTGGCGATCAGGGCAGAGAGGCGCTCTGCGGGGACACACGAAAACAGGCAGCAGAGGGTGGGAATAGTGAGAGCAAGGAATCTCGGTGTCCTCAAATAAACATGTTACAATATAGCATAGCTATGTTACAATCGTGCAAGTGTAACACCCCAATCCGGGTGTACACTTTGGCCCAAGGCGCCCCAACCAATTTTGGTCGGGTGCGCCACAAACCCCGTCGACCGCAATAAATGACGGTCGGCCCAAAGCATTCTTTAGTAACCATTCTCATTTGTCCACCAATAATGCCTTGGGTACTTCACCAAATTCCCTCAAGTTTATCTCTTATTATATGTACCTATGTTCGAACCAAGACTTAAAGCTTCTAAGAAAGCAGACAGCAACATGTGATCACACGGAAAGCCTCATCCTCTTCTTCACAGAAAGATTTTGCCACGCATGCGCACACACGCACCCGCACTCGCACGTGCACGCGCGCGTGCGCGCGCGCACACACACACACACACACGCACTCACACGCACACACACTCACATGCACACACGCACACACACACACACACACACTCACTCACACCCTCACACACACACACACTCTCACACACCCACACACACACACACACACAGACACACACACACACCCACACACACACACACACACACACACACGCACGCACGCACGCACGCACGCATGCATGCACGCACGCACGCACGCACGCACGCACGCACGCACGCACGCACACGCACACGCACACGCACACGCACACACACACACACACACACACACTCACACACACACACACACACACATACACACACACACACACACACACACACACACAGCAGGCACCCCTCCCTCCATCTGGCTGATTTCAAACCCCGTTTCATTGTGCTTGGGTTTGGGACGTCTTAAAAACCCCGGATTCACAGAGCCCGAGGAGTTCTAAGATGGGCTCACCTGGCATCAAGAAGATGTCGTCGTCTATTTTGACGTAGAACTTGGCTTCATAGAGCTTGAAGGCCGCTGTGAAGAACAGCAGACTGTGGGACAGGGATCGGAGATTATGAGTGCAGGTGGAGAGACAGGAGTGAGTGGAGTTTGAATGGCTGGTTGGTAGCAAAGAAGGTACTCACGTTTGTTGTTCTACTTTTCTATTACTGCTCTACCTCTAGATACAGAATATATTACCAAGCAGATACCAATGCAGCAGAGAATTGTAGGCAGCGGGGATGAACGAAAAGAAACTCTAGGATGAGCAGAGTGGGAAGTGCATTAGGTACATGGAAGGCATGAAGAAAGCAGCTGCAGATTCAGATGCAGCAGCACGTGAAGATAAAGCACCTCGTAATGCCATCACGCGAGCACCTCACACCACGAGCCCCTTACATCTTGTGGTTGAGATTGAGGTACGATTCTTGCACATCAACACGAAAGAAGTCCCCATGAGTGCTGTTCTCCGCCTGCAGCATCTGCTCGTCCTCCGCGCTGCCGTGCCCAACTATGAACCGAAACACCAGCCCCGTTGCTGCCTCCACCCTGGAGAGTATGTGAGAACGGGGAGGGGGGAGGGGTGCAGAGAGAGAGGGAGGGCACAACTCATGTCAACCGGGACACCATGCCTGTTGCTGGAATACCTTTAACGGAGAAGAAGGGCCGGGGGAAGGTGCCGACAGGGCACATCACATCCCATCCCAGCACACACCATCGCAACCCGTCGCACCCCACAACAACCCACCGTACCGCACTCCACCGCAATGCACCGTAATGCACCGGAATGCACTCCACCGTACCCGACTGCACCTCCGCACCCGACAATACCGCACCACACCGCACCCAACCGTAACCCACCGCACCCACCACAGCCCATGCACCCCAGCGCACCATATTGCACCACGCCGCACCCCACCACATCGCACCGCACCCCACCGCACTGCACCGCAACGCACCCCACCGCACCCGACCGCACTACCGCAGCGCACCCCACCGCACCCCAACACGCCCCACCGTACCCCAACGCACCCCCCCTCGGCCCCCCACCCCATCCCATCTCATCCCATCCCATCGCATCGCATCGCATCGCATCCCATCCCATCCCATCCCATCCCATCCCATCCCATCCCATCCCATCCCATCCCATCCCACCACCACCACGGATGATGGCCTACCGCGCGTGCTCCTCGGGCGTGCCGGGGAACCACGTCTCGCGAAGCAGCTCGCGCCTCTTGCTGCTGCGGCCGAAACCGGTCAATACCCTGACGAACCCCGACACGCGTTTCCTGCCCGGATACCGCAACCGATCTGCACTCCTCTCGTCCATCCCTGGCGATTCCGTCAACGTTCCGACCGCCGGTGCGGTCGCTGCGGCAACAGGCTGTAGCGCGGATTCATTTTGTGTCACTGTCACTCTAACCGGCTGTAGCTCGGCGTTTTCACTCGTCGCGGTCGCTGCGGCAACTGGCTGTAACTCGGCGGGTTCGTTCGTCGCGGTGGTTGCGGCAAACGCCGGCTGTAACTCGGCAGACTCATTCGTAGCAGTCGCTTCGCCAACCGGCTGTAACTCGGCGAAATTATTCGTCGCGGTCGCTGCAGCAACCGGCGGTTTCAACACAGCGAGTTCATTCCTCACGGTCGCTGCGACAAGCGACTGTAGTACCAACTGGGAAGTACTCGTCCTATGATCGTATCTAAAGAACGAGGATGTCTAAAAGGAGGAAGAAGAGGACGGCTAGTTGGAGCAGGAAGAGGGACCAAGACACGCGCCATGACGTCAGCACTTGCGGCTCGACGGACGTCTTACACTCGAAGCCCATCAGCTGGTAGGAAATCCAATGACCCTGACCCTTTGATGCAGTATTCTCTCTGGTAGAGACGTCTACTAGACGTCCGTCGAATGGCAATGAAAGGCTCGACCTTTGAGAGACTTTCTTGAATCGTTCGCGAATACTGTGTCTTGAAGTTTGAGGCGCCTCAACAACCATCAGCGGGTGAGGTCCTTACTGCATTGCAATGCATCTTGCAATGCATCTTGCAATGCTAGTACTCCATGGCAGGACCAGCGCCGCCGCCGGCAGTTTGGGATCGTCTCTGGGAATGGGAAGGAGACGAAAATATCGGTCCCGAGCAGCCATGGCATGATTCGGAGGAGCACGTGACGTTGACGTGAACCAGCCATGATTCAGCCATTGCTGCCACCACCTCTCCCATCCCATCCCAATGCTCCATCACCTTCACCAGCAAGTCTCCCCTCCCCACCAACCCGGCCAACGCCGGGCTTCCCGGGCCGTTCAGCATCGACATCGATGGACGCCTGTCAACTGACCGCGGGCAGAAACGAATCTAAAGTAGGATCAGGATGGGATAACACTCGCAGTGACCGTGTTTTGGGTGGATCCCTCCCGAGGCGCGTGCCACCGGGATGAGGGAAGCTGACGGAATGTCCAGTGGTTCTGACGGCTTGACTAACCTTGCCCAAGAGATGCCATCATCCCATAGTACACCTGTCCTCCGACAATTTCACGGGGTGAAATTCCCGAATCGCGTGAACGATTGCCTGAGAGGGCGTGAAATTACACAGAGCAATAGAGTCCCCATGACTGGGCTGGTTCCCTTCACTGTGAAGAGCCGAGGGAAGGGTAGGACCGAATGGTGCTCTCTTTGCTGGGAATGCCTGCTGACACCGTATCCCACCACGCAAGATTGTTTCTAAGACAACCCAAAACGCATCCCACCACGTCTTCACCTATGCGGGCGGGCACGATTGTTACCCTTTTCCACTTCCACCACCACGCCCAAATTCCAAGGATGCGGTATAGGATAACGCGATGATAGTACGGTATTGTAGAAGGTAATCTACTAGTTGGAAAAAAATATGAATTGCCTTGATTGAGGTAAAACCTCAATTGCCTATATTTGTAAAAATGGCACCCAGGTTGTGTTGATAAGCCAGCAAAGCTTAAAGAGCCTACGTACCAGCCATTGCTTGTGTAATTTAGGCTTACAGTACCAGGCTACATATATCAAGTTTTTAGGCAGTGGTTGTTGCACTTGGTGTACTCTTGCAATGACTTGTCCCACAAGCTTATGCATACAAATGTCGTGCGACTTCAAAGGGGTGGGGGGGGACTGGATGTTTTTCTCTGTACTGGCAGTGGCTGCTGCCACCGCACCCCACCACTCTTCACCTGAGGTGTGGCTGCACCGGTGCCTGAGTCAGTGCAGAGATTTCCGCACGGAGGGAACGAATGCTGTCCTCCGTGCTGGCAGTCGCTGCTGCCACCGCACCCCACCACTCCTTCACCTGCGGCGTGGCTGTGCCGGCTGTGACAGTGGCTGCCTCGTGAAGAGATGGTGCTGTTGCCTGCACCACCTGCAGCCCTGCCAGGATCTGTGTGTGCATGTGTGTGTGTGTTGGGGGAGGGGGGTAAAAGGGGGTAAGCGGGGTGTTTGTGTGTGTGTGTGTGTGTGTGTGTGTCCAGGTGAGTGTGAGTGTGCGCGCGTGTGTGAGTGTATGAGTATGCATGTGAGTGGGTGTGAGTATGCGTGAGGGAAGCCGGCGAGAAGGAGGATGATGAAAACTCAGACTCTCAGGTGTGATAACAGTAGCAACAATACACGTCGACAACAGCAGAGAGCAGCTTGTGCCTGCCAGAGGGTAGGAGTGAGCTTTTGAGTCGACTCAGCTTTTGAGTCGACTCAACTTCTGAGTCGACTCAAAAACAGTAGCAGCAGTGCACGTCGATCACAGCAGAGAGCTGCTAGTGCCTGGCAGAGGGTAGGAGTGAGTCGCCGTCGCTGGGTTGCAAGGGATTGAAAGGGTTGGCATGGAGCAGACAACCCACACGATCACGACAGAGTGAGTGAGGGAGGGAGGGAGTGATGGAGTGAGTGAGTGAGTGAGTGAGTGGGTGAGTGAGTGAGGGAGGGAATAAGTGAGAGGGTGACCTTGAGGAGAGCGGAGTGCTGCGAGTGCACAGCAGACGCTCGAGGGCCGATCTTGATGGGGCGAGGAGGGGGGTTGCGCTGCATCCAGGGGATTAGGTCCTGGGGGGATAGGGGGACGGGGGGAATAGGGGGACGGGGGGGATAGGGGGACGTGGGGGGATAGGGGGACGTGGGGGGATAGGGGGACGTGGGGGGATATTTTGAGGCGCCTCAAAATACACCTCACTGCATCTTGATGGGGCGAGGCGGGGGGTTGCGCTGCATCCAGGGCAGCAGGTCCTGGGGGGGTAGGGGGACGAGGGGGGATAGGGAGACGTGGGGAGGAAGATGGAGGGCAAGGGGGGAAAGGGGGAAAACGTTGGGAGAAATTGGGAGCGCATGAGGAAAGCGAAGGCGGATTGAGGGAAGGACAAGCAGACGAATTGATCTCTCATCATGAGAGCAGGTCGTGGGGGGAACAGGGGACACGTGGAGGCAATGCCACTAGTGCGAGGGGTAGCGTGAGGGGTAGCGTGAGGGGTAGCGTGAGGGGTAGCGTGAGGGGTAGCGTGAGGGGTAGCGTGAGGGGTAGCGTGAGGGGTAGCGTGAGAAAGGAGGGTCAGAAGCATAGTGCTGGAAGAATGGAGAGAGAGGCATGTTTTGCCGATGGTCAGGCACACAAAATACACTTAGGTTGGTTGGCCAGTGTGAGAGGTAGGATGGTTGGTAGGATGGTTGGTAGGATGGTTGGTAGGATGGTTGGTAGGATGGTTGGTAGGATGGTTGGTAGGATGGTTGGTAGGATGGTTGGTAGGATGGTTGGTAGGATGGTTGGTAGGATGGTTGGTAGGATGGTTGGTAGGATGGTTGGTAGGATGGTTGGTAGGATGGTTGGTAGGATGGTTGGTAGGATGGTTGGTAGGATGGTTGGTAGGATGGTTGGTAGGATGGTTGGTAGATGGTTGGTAGGATGGTTGGTAGGATGGTTGGTAGGATGGTTGGTAGATGGTGGTAGGATGGTTGGTAGGATGGTTGGTAGGATGGTTGGTAGGATGGTTGGTAGGATGGTTGGTAGGATGGTTGGTAGGATGGTTGGTAGGATGGTTGGTAGGATGGTTGGTAGGATGGTTGGTAGGATGGTTGGTAGGATGGTTGGTAGGATGGTTGGTAGGATGGTTGGTATGTTGTATGGTTGGTAGGATGGTTGGTAGGATGGTTGGTAGGATGGTTGGTAGGATGGTTGGTAGGATGGTTGGTAGGATGGTTGGTAGGATGGTTGGTAGGATGGTTGGTAGATGGTTGGGGAGATGGTTGGTAGGATGGTTGGTAGGATGGTTGGTAGGATGGTTGGTAGAGATGGTTGGTAGGATGGTTGGTAGGATGGTTGGTAGGATGGTTGGTAGGATGGTTGGTAGGATGGTTGGTAGGATGGTTGGTAGGATGGTTGGTAGGATGGTTGGTAGGATGGTTGGTAGGATGGTTGGTAGGATGGTTGGTAGGATGGTTGGTAGGATGGTTGGTAGGATGGTTGGTAGGATGGTTGGTAGGATGGTTGGTAGGATGGTTGGTAGGATGGTTGGTAGGATGGTTGGTAGGATGGTTGGTAGGATGGGAGGGAGACGTGAGGCCGCACACAACACACACTGGTCTTGAAAGACGGGTGCCATGGATTTAATCCTGCCTTCCAGGACTTCCAACTCTCACCCTGTCCACTTTATAAGCGACCTGACATCCTCCTTCGAATCACGCACTCACCCTGTCCACTTTATAAGTGACCTCGTTAGCGAGAGAGAGGTAGCGCTGCACAGCAGCAGTCAGATTGGCGTCCGCGGCTGCAGTGTGCTGCTGGCTCTGGTTGCGCAAAGGGTCCACCACACACTGATGCGGGGGAAGGGAGGGGTAGGAGGAGGAGGGAGGAAAATGCAGCAAGGCAGCAAGGCAATCGCGTCGGCAGCTGCAGTGTGCTGCCGGCTCTGGTCGCGCAAAGGGTCCACCACACACTGATGGGAGGGGAGAGGGAAGAAACAGCAGCAAGGCAACTCCAAGGTTTCTTAAGACACAGCCCTCTGGTCGCGCAGAGGGTCCAGCACACACTGAAAGAGGAGGAGAGGGGGAAAAAAGCAGCAAGGCAACCCCACGGTTACTCTAAACGCAGAAAGGCAGCAAGGCAGCAACACAATGTTGTCCGCCGCGTGGTGCCGTCTCTGGTCGCGCAGAGGGTCCAACACACACCAGTGGGGGACGGGGAAGAGGCAAACATAAAATATGAAGGTTTTAAGTTCCAGGACAACACCAACTTGACAGGAGTTAGAAGGCAACAACTTGACAAAAGCTTCAGTTTCAAGATGCTTTGCTACTCTACAGGTTTTTGCTTCCCCTCAAATTCTCGAAACCTGTTGTGTCGAAGTTATCATGTAATGTAACAATTTGAGTGGCCAGCAGCCATGGCAGCTTCCTCTCCGGCTCGCCGCTCGGGTGAGCCGCAGGATGGTGAGCTTCCTCTGCTGCTGCTTCTTACAGCGCACCTGAGCGGCCAGCAGGATGGTGTCGTCGTGAATCTGCTGCTTGCATGCCTTGCCCATGTATTGCCACATACAATCCCGTTACAACTCACTGTATCTGCTGCTTCCTCTCCCACGTCTCACCTGAGCGGCCAGCAGGATGGTGTCGTCGTGAATCTGCTGCTTCCTCTCCCGCAGCTCCACCAGGCGCTGCCCCGCCTCCTCTATGCCGTTCATGTTGGCCCTGTTGTCCCTGCACCTGCTGGGCAGCATGGGGAAGTGGGGGGGGGGTTGCATTTCATTTCTCACTCGGCTCATAAGTCCCCTGCAGCTCCACCAGGCGCTGCCCCGCCTCCTCTATGCCGTTCATGTTGGCCCTGTTGTCCCTGCACCTGCTGGGCAGCATGGGGGAAGCGGGGGGGTTTGCATTTCTTAGTCAGCTTTGCGACGTCTCAAAGGGGTCTTGCATTTCTCAGTCAGCTCATAAATCTCCCGCAGCTCCACCAGGCGCTGCCCCGCCTCCTCTATGCTGTCTGTCCCACCCCCTGCTGCCGCTGTGCACCATGGGGGGGGGCAGAGGGGTTTACTTCAGAGGCGGCATAGGGGACGGAGGGGTGTGCATTTTTTATGCGCCTCAGAAGCAGCTCCACCAGCCGCTGCCCCGCCTCCTCTATGCCTTCCCCCCTGCTGTCCCCGCTGCTGCTGCTGGGAGGAGGCATGGGGGAAGCGGGAGGAATGCACAGGTTGAGAGATGTCTCGGAACGCAGCTCCACCAGGCGCTGCCCCGCCTCCTCTATGCCGTCCCCCCCCCTGCTGCTGCTGCTGCTGCTGCTGCTGCTGCTGCTGCTGCTGCTGCTGCTGCTGCTGCTGCTGCAGGGGGAAAGCAGGAGGTGCGGGAGGGACGCACAGCAGGCCTTGAGTTGCTTGGGCGAAGAGAGTAAGGGGGAGTGGGAAGGGAGAAAAGTGAAGAGCAGAGATAAAAGAGTGCAGATACAGATGGAAGAATAGGCATGCATACACTTCAGCCACTAATAGCATACAGTAACTCTTTGAGACGTCTTGGGAACCGAACATACCTCTCAGCTCTCACCACCTCTCACCTCTCACTCACCACCTCTCACCTCTCACCACCGACTCGCACCTGGCAGCAGCACCAGCTTTGGCGCGCGTGAGCAGGTCCGGAGAGAAGAGGGGCGGGAAGGACGAGGGTTGCAGCAAAGCAGCTGCTGTCGGCGGTGCATACGAGCCCAATGCGAGCTGGTCCTCCGGCCTGGGAATGGGAGTTGGGAAACGGGAAGGGTTGAGGGAATGAGAGATGAGAAATGGAGGAGCATGGGTTGCCGCAAAGCAGCTGGTGATGGTGGCGCGTACGAGGGCAATGCGAGCTGGGCCGTCGTTAGCCTGGCAGGGCTGCATGTGGGATATGGGGGAATAGAGGAGCACGGGGATACGGGCCATACCTGTTTCACAGACCATACCTGCTTCACCATGCATACCTGCTTCACCATGCATACCTGCTTCACCATGCATACCTGCTTCACCATGCATACCTGCTTCACCATGAATATCTGCTCCGACGGCTATTTAGTTCCTTTTCAAAAGCTAATCAAATTCATCTTGCTTCAAGTAACACCTAACCATGCCATACCTGCTCCTTAGCCTCGCCATATCCATACCTGCTCCTTAGCCTCACGATATCCATACCTGCCCCTTAGCCTAGCCATATCCATACCTGCCCCTTAGCCTCTCCACATCCATACCTGCCCCTTAGCCTCTCCACATCCATACCTGCTCCTTAGCCTCTCCACATCCATACCTGCCCCTTAGCCTCTCCACATCCATACCTGCCCCTTAGCCTCTCCACATCCATACCTGCCCCTTTTCTCTCCACATTCATACCTGCCCCTTAGCCTCTCCACATCCTCCACCTGGCGAGCCACTTCCAGCAGCCATACGGCTCGCTCTGGCACCCCGCCCACTCCCTGGGGGGTGTATGGGGGGTGCGTGGATAGGGGTGCATGGGGAGGGATGCATGGATGGGGCATAGGTGCATGGGGATGCATGGCTGGGGTGATGTTATGTTACGCATGGTCCATGGTGCAGGAGAGCATGGTCTGTAGTTCATGTTGGCTTTTGAGGGACGATGCACATGGCGCATGTGACATGGTGCATGTGACATGGTGCATGTGACATGGCGCATGTGACATGGCGCATGTGACATGGTGCATGTGACATGGTGCATGTGACATGGTGCATGTGACATGGCGCATGTGACATGGCGCATGTGACATGGCGCATGTGACATGGCGCATGTGACATGGCGCATGTGACATGGCGCATGTGACATGGCGCATGTGACATGGCGCATGTGACATGGCGCATGTGACATGGCGCATGTGACATGGCGCATGTGACATGGCGCATGTGACATGGTGCATGTGACATGGTGCATGTGACATGGCGCATGTGACATGGCGCATGTGACATGGCGCATGTGACATGGCGCATGTGACATGGCGCATGTGACATGGCGCATGTGACATGGCGCATGTGACATGGCGCATGTGACATGGCGCATGTGACATGGCGCATGGCGCATGGCGCATGGTGCATGTGACATGGTGCATGTGACATGGTGCATGTGACATGGTGCATGTGACATGGTGCATGTGACATGGTGCATGTGACATGGTGCATGTGACATGGCGCATGTGACATGGCGCATGTGACATGGCGCATGTGACATGGCGCATGTGACATGGCGCATGTGACATGGCGCATGTGACATGGCGCATGTGACATGGCGCATGTGACATGGCGCATGTGACATGGCGCATGTGACATGGCGCATGTGACATGGCGCATGTGACATGGCGCATGTGACATGGCGCATGTGACATGGCGCATGTGGCATGGCGCATGGCGCATGTGCCATGGCGCATGTGACATGGCGCATGGCGCATGTGCCATGGCGCATGTGCCATGGCGCATGTGACATGGCGCATGTGACATGGCGCATGTGACATGGCGCATGTGACATGGCGCATGTGACATGGCGCATGTGACATGGCGCATGTGACATGGCGCATGTGACATGGCGCATGTGACATGGCGCATGTGACATGGCGCATGTGACATGGCGCATGTGACATGGCGCATGTGACATGGCGCATGTGACATGGCGCATGTGACATGGCGCATGTGACATGGCGCATGTGACATGGCGCATGTGACATGGCGCATGTGACATGGCGCATGTGACATGGCGCATGTGACATGGCGCATGTGACATGGCGCATGTGACCATGGCGCATGTGACATGGCGCATGTGACATGGCGCATGTGACATGGCGCATGTGACATGGCGCATGTGACATGGCGCATGTGACATGGCGCATGTGACATGGCGCATGTGACATGGCGCATGTGACATGGCGCATGTGACATGGCGCATGTGACATGGCCCGCATGTGACATGGCGCATGTGACATGGCGCATGTGACATGGCGCATGTGACATGGCGCCATGTGACATGGCGCATGTGACATGGCGCATGTGACATGGCGCATGTGACATGGCGCATGTGACATGGCGCATGTGACATGGCGCATGTGACATGGCGCATGTGACATGGCGCATGTGACATGGCGCATGTGACATGGCGCATGTGACATGGCGCATGTGACATGGCGCATGTGACATGGCGCATGTGACATGGCGCATGTGACATGGCGCATGTGACATGGCGCATGTGACATGGCGCATGTGACATGGCGCATGTGACATGGCGCATGTGACATGGCGCATGTGACATGGCGCATGTGACATGGCGCATGTGACATGGCGCATGTGACATGGCGCATGTGACATGGCGCATGTGACATGGCGCATGTGACATGGCGCATGTGACATGGCGCATGTGACATGGCGCATGTGACATGGCGCATGTGACATGGCGCATGTGACATGGCGCATGTGACATGGCGCATGTGACATGGCGCATGTGACATGGCGCATGTGACATGGCGCATGTGACATGGCGCATGTGACATGGCGCATGTGACATGGCGCATGTGACATGGCGCATGTGACATGGCGCATGTGACATGGCGCATGTGACATGGCGCATGTGACATGGCGCATGTGACATGGCGCATGTGACATGGCGCATGTGACATGGCGCATGTGACATGGCGCATGTGACATGGCGCATGTGACATGGCGCATGTGACATGGCGCATGTGACATGGCGCATGTGACATGGCGCATGTGACATGGCGCATGTGACATGGCGCATGTGACATGGCGCATGTGACATGGCGCATGTGACATGGCGCATGTGACATGGCGCATGTGACATGGCGCATGTGACATGGCGCATGTGACATGGCGCATGTGACATGGCGCATGTGACATGGCGCATGTGACATGGCGCATGTGACATGGCGCATGTGACATGGCGCATGTGACATGGCGCATGTGACATGCGGGCGCATGTGACATGGCGCATGTGACATGGCGCATGTGACATGGCGCATGTGACATGGCGCATGTGACATGGCGCATGTGACATGGCGCATGTGACATGGCGCATGTGACATGGCGCATGTGACATGGTGCATGTGACATGGTGCATGTGACATGGTGCATGTGACATGGTGCATGTGACATGGTGCATGTGACATGGTGCATGTGACATGGCGCATGTGACATGGCGCATGTGACATGGCGCATGTGACATGGCGCATGTGACATGGCGCATGTGACATGGCGCATGTGACATGGCGCATGTGACATGGCGCATGTGACATGGCGCATGTGACATGGCGCATGTGACATGGCGCATGTGACATGGCGCATGCGACATGGCGCATGCGACATGGCGCATGCGTCATGGCGCATGTGACATGGCGCATGTGACATGGCGCATGTGACATGGCGCATGTGACATGGTGCATGTGACATGGTGCATGTGACATGGTGCATGTGACATGGTGCATGTGACATGGCGCATGTGACATGGCGCATGTGACATGGCGCATGTGACATGGCGCATGTGACATGGCGCATGTGACATGGCGCATGTGACATGGCGCATGTGACATGGTGCATGTGACATGGTGCATGTGACATGGTGCATGTGACATGGTGCATGTGACATGGTGCATGTGACATGGTGCATGTGACATGGTGCATGTGACATGGTGCATGTGACATGGTGCATGTGACATGGTGCATGTGACATGGTGCATGTGACATGGTGCATGTGACATGGTGCATGTGACATGGTGCATGTGACATGGTGCATGTGACAAGGTGCATGTGACATGGTGCATGTGACATGGTGCATGTGACATGGTGCATGTGACATGGTGCATGTGACATGGTGCATGTCACATGGTGCATGTCACATGGTGCATGTCACATGGTGCATGTGACATGGTGCATGTGACATGGTGCATGTGACATGGTGCATGTGACATGGTGCATGTGACATGGTGCATGTGACATGGTGCATGTGACATGGTGCATGTGACATGGTGCATAGCACATGGTGCATGTCATATGGTGCATGTCACATGGTGCATGTGACATGGTGCATGTGACATGGTGCATGTGACATGGTGCATGTGACATGGTGCATAGCACATGGTGCATAGCACATGGTGCAGATGGGATTCCTGGAGCGTGGCTCATGATATGGCAGGCAGGCAGGCAGGGCGTTACGGCGCCGGAAAATAGCTTTTGAGTCGACTCTAAAGTCACGTCATGTGAAATGGCTTTTGAGGCGCCTCAAAAGGCAATGCGTTACGGCGCCGGAAAATAGCTTTTGAGTCGACTCTGAAGTCACGTCATGTGAAATGGTGCAGATTGGATGCCCGAGTGTGGATCATCATATGGCACGCAGGGCGTTACGGTGCCAGAAAAACCATGCCAAAAGAACTCACCAACACCCTCATTCTCGCCCTCACTCTCACTCTCACCCTCACCCTCACCCTCACCCCCACTCTCACCCCCACTCTCACCCCCACTCTCACCCCACTCTCACCCCCACTCTCACCCTCACTCTCACCCCCACTCTCACCCTCACTCTCACCCCCACTCTCACCCCCACTCTCACCCTCACTCTCACCCTCACCCCCACTCTCACTCTCACCCCCACTCTCACCCCCACTCTCACCCTCACTCTCACCCTCACCCCCACTCTCACTCTCACCGTGGCAGCGTCCTGCCCGTCGTGTTGAGCCAGACCCAGCAGCACAGCCGTGCGGCACACGCCTGGTGGGACGGGTGGTGATGGGGAGGGCAGCAAGAGATGAGAATGGGATGGATTTTGAGTCAACTAAAAAACCGTCGTGTTCAGCCAGACCCAGCAGCACGGCCGTGCTACACACACCTGGTGGGATGGCAGCATGGCAGGGAGAGAGATGCATGAGGATGGGATGGGTGAGTGAAGATGGCAGAGTGGCGATAAAAAGTTGGACTAAACACCACCAGAACTATGTGTGGGAGAATGATGAGGTGGCAGCGATGGTGGTGCTACAGATGAAATGACAAGGCTGGGATGGGATGTGGGCGGGACACACGCTCATGGCGCGGGAGGGCTTTGGGTTGCGCTGACTAGTGAAAGGACAAGAGGCGAACGGGTTATGCAACAGCAAGAAGCTGAGCCCATGTTTTTTGAGAATTCTCAAAAAACAAGGCTGGGATGGGATGTGGCCGGGACACTCGCTCATGGCGCGGGAGGGCTTTGGGTTGCGCTGAGTCGCTGACTAGTGAAAGGACAAGAGGCGAACGGGTTATGCAGCAGCAAGAAGCTGAGCCGACAACTCAGCTTCGCCTCTCCATCATCTGCTCTGCCACGTGTAGGTCACTGATTTGTTTTTACGACATGTGGTACACTTGCTCGTGAGCTGCATGGCATGGCTTACGGCTCTCCACGTTGTTAATTCGTTCAGCCGGCGCTGCACCCCCCTCTCGATTTGTGTGCATCGAGCCCAGAATCCTGTTGCCCGTGTGCACAGCACACGCATGCATGCATGCACACACTCGCACGGGCACACACACACAGGCACACAAACGCACACACAGGCACAGCATGCACACACACGCAGACACAGGCACGGGCAGCAAAACGATTTTGGGAAATCCTACACCCCCTTCGTCTCGATTTGTGGGTACAGGGACCAGTATCCTGTTGCCCCCCTCACACACATGCGCAGGCACGGGAGCAACATAAGATATACACGGGTTTGAGGTAACATATGCATACATACATGCCTGCTATACATGTAGTAAAGTGTGGATGATACGTGGCTGCAGATAAGGGTGCAAAGTCGCATGCAGTTTCAAACTTAGGCCGTCCCTGGTGCAAGTGCTACTAAAGGGTAAAGGTGCTATCTGGTGCAGGTGCTACTTGGTGCAGGTGCTATCTGGTGCACGTGCTATCTGGGACAGGTGCTATTTGGTGCAGGTTCTATCTGGTGCATGTGGTACCTGGTGTATGTGCTATCTGGTGCAGGTGCTACGTGGTGCAACCTGGTGCATGTGCTACTTGGTGCAGGTGCTACCTGGTGAAGGCCCAGTCGAGGAAGTGCAGGCGTTGTTCCGTGTGGTTTAGGAGCAGGTCAACCGCCTCCTGTTGGGATACAGTGCGGTGTAAAAAGGAGGCGCGTTGGATAAATCTGCATGTGGTGTACTAACGAGTGCGTAAGAATGAGAGTCTTTGTACGGAGTTGTATGTTATCCCGCAAGTTTGCTCTACGATGCGGTATGACGAAACGACTTTTGAGGCGCCTCAGAATCATGCTACCGCGCAAATGCGCTCTACGATCGGGTACGAAACGGAGGGAGTGAACGCGACATACGAGAGATCGAGCGTTCGCGCCGGCCAAGGAGTAACCGACGTCCTCCAGTCTCGTTGCGACAGCCGTCGCCAAGTCCATGGCTGCGCTTCGGTGCTGCGAAACCCCGTGTGCGAAACCCCGTGGCCACGTGGCCACGGAGAGCGCTTCAACGGAACTGCCAACTGCGTTCCAAGATCGCCTCAAAAGACGAGCGGATGGCGTGAAGTGAAACGCAGAGCACAAGAAAACAGGAATGCAAAAACTCCCTGGAAGGAGGTTATAACACCTCGCTACCCACTGGGTCAAAACGAGGTGTTATACGGTCGTTTGCCTGAAGGAAGTGGCCTACGGGCGTGCCTACGGGCGGGCCGCGCTGCTGCTAGCGGCTTTCTGCTGCTACGGGCCGATCGCGCCTGCTGCTAGCGGATTTAACGAGAGTCGCCCTGCTGCTAGGATCGCGCTGCTGCTAGGACGAATCGCTGGTGTGCTGCTAGGACGAATCGCGCTGCTGCTAGGACGAATCGCTGGTGTGCTGCTAGGACGAATCGCGCTGCTGCTAGGACGAATCACTTTTCTGGAAGGAGGTGGTGGTCGTTGCACGAATTACGTGGAGGAAGGTTTTGCTCAAAAGGAATGCTCCAGTCATATTCGTATCGTGTGTCAGAAGAAAACGAGGTTCGGGTCGGAATGCACACGAAATCCGCCTCAACTCTCCTTATGTGTGTATATTTACTTGTTCAGGAGGGAATAAATTCTGACACTGTATCGAGGCAGTCTGCAGCAGGGAATCGAATTTATTAGCCCGTTGGAGCACAATACTTGACCCGTAGCAATTCGTGTGGCTGAGATTCGTTGTACGACGTGGCGGGAAAATTGGTTGTTCTGACACCATGGGCGACTGCCCCTTTCATCAACTTCTGTGCGACAAGCGTACGACGAGCATTTCGGTTGCGCGACCATCTGGGCATGCGACATCATCGGGTTTCACGATGTCGTTGGCCTTCTTCAAACTAGCGCCAGGAAGTTGGAAAGGCGTGTTTACAAATGAGGCCCAGACGCCGTAGTCAGCCTCAGGTGCTAAACCGTGAACTCGTTCCCGAACACTTTCAGCCGAGCACGTTGCGTTCAGAAAAGCTCTGATTTTCGCAAGAGTCATATTCAACTCACTGGCACGATTTGTCAGCCATAATTTTATTACTGCGACAAGATCGACGAGCTTTGCGAAAGCCGCGTTACTACAATGTAGCCTGGCGCGAGCCCGTTCTCTGCAACAAGCCCTCAAATACTGCTGGGAAGGAGCCCTACCCAAGGCCTCCAAGCAAGCACCCCCACCTCGAGACCACAAGAACTGGCAGCGACTGACTGCGCCATCACAGGACACCAGTCCATGGCCGCTGATGGTTCATGTTGCTCTTCAAAGCGTTTCCTGAGACAATTTAGGCGTTCCTGCCTCCGGCGTTGTAGTCTCTGAAGAGCCTTAGGCCACAATATTCCAGTTTGCAGTCAGTTTAGCCTAAGTTAACTCGTAGCACTTCACCTTACCTGGATCTAACTTTTGGGGGATCAGAGCCAAGCTTCCTTGAGCTATCGCCGTAATAATCGATCTAGCTATTAGTCAACTCCACAGATTATAGTTTCATGGCGGGGTTGTGTATAGCGGGTACGGAAGGCCGGTTCAGAATCCACAGACTTCCAGATGCGAAATGAAGAGAGAAGCCCGACGAACTCGCACGCCTTTCATCCGAAACCACCATCGGCTCACCTTCATTCCTGTCTCCTTTACGCCTCGCATGCGAAAAGCCACGCCTAGTACACAGTCGAAAGTAGTTCCTCTTCCCTTCGAGAAAATGCCTCCTCCCGTCGACCTAGCCTCTCAACCCCGTCCCAGTACCGCAGATGGTCGCCCACGTCCAGGGGGTAATCAGGACTGGTTACCCGCAGATGGAGGGGTACGAGGGGGTAACCAGGAGAAGTTACCCGAGAAAAAGGTTACTCCCAGCCTTAGTGTCGCAGATCGAGTTGCTTCTTTCAAGCAATTGGCTGGACAGGACAGGAGCTCTTCTCCCAAACCGTCAGGCTCGACACGGCTCGGAACCGGCGCTGCAGGTTCCACGAGTCCGTTCAGGGCTGGTTCGGCTGAAGCTGGTTCGGCGGACGTTGGTTTAGAAGTGCAGCTCGGGCAGCTGAGAATAAAAAACGCGGACCTGAAGCTGAACGTGGAAAACCTTCAGGCGGAGCTGAAAGCTTCAAAGGAGCAGATCGGGCAGATGACAAAAGAAATTGAGGCGTGGAAAAAGGAGGGAGTTTCGAAAGACAGCGCTGCTGAGATGAAAGCGGAGATTGAAAAGCTAAAGAAGGAATTGGCAGAGAGCAAAGGAGGAGGGAAGGGCGTGGGGGTAGTGGGAGAGAGAGATAAGGAAATGAAGGAGATGGAGGAGAAAATGATGATTATGGAGGTAGAGGTGGGAAAGTATAAATTCGTGCATGACAGTTTAAAAGAGAGGGTAGAAAGGCTGACCAAGGATAACAAGAAACGAATTGCGTCGGAGAAAGAGGCGCTAGATGCTATTGGGAAGGTGAGAGAGGAGAAGGAGGAGGTGGAGAGGAGACTGAGTGAGGTGGAGGCGGAAAGGGACGAGGCGAGGAGGAAGTGTGAGGAGGCGCAGCAGCGGATGGCAGAGGCTGTGAGAGAGAGAGGAGAGGTGGAGGCGAGGAGGGATGAGGATGTAGCTGCTGTGCGGAAGGCTATGGAGGAGGAGAGGCGGAAGGTTGAGGAGGGGAGGAGGAAGGCGGAGGAGGAGAGGGATGGAGTGTTGAAGGAGAAGAGTGAGGTGGAAGGGGAGAAGGAGGTGTTGATGGGGAGGTTGGCGGAGGAAGAGAGGAGGCGAGAGGAGGCGGAGAGGAGGCGAGAGGAGGCGGAGAAAGGGAGGCGAGAGTCGGAGGAGGAAAAGGCACGAGCTGAAGGGGAGAAGGAACAGGCGTGGAAGGAGAGGGAGGAGGCGGATGCAGCTCGGACGGCGGCGGAGGAGGAGAGGGATGAGGCAGTGAGGGCGAAGGAAGAGGCGGAGAGGGAACGAGACGAGGCGACGAGGGCTCGTGAGGCGGCGGAAACTAAGCAAGAAGAGGCGGAGAAGAGGAGTGGCGAGGCAGAGCGATTAAGGGAGGAAGCGGAGGCACAGAGAGGAGAGGCTGAGAAAGAGAGAGGGAAGGCGGAAGAGGAGAAGGAGCAAGCGAAGAAGGAGAGGGAAGAGGCGGAGGCAGCACGGGGAGTGGCGGAGAAAGAGAGGGAAGAGGCAGTAACGGGTAAGGAGGAGGCGGAAAGGGAACGAGAAGAGGCGACGAAGGCACGTGAGGCTGCGGAAACGAAGCAAGAGGAGGCGGAGAAGAGAAGAGACGAGGCAGAGAGATTGTGGGAGGAAGCAGAGGCACGGAGGGAGGAGGCGGAGAGAGAGAGAGGGAAGGCGGAAGAGGAGAAAGAGAAAGCGAAGAAGGAGAGGGAAGAGGCGGAGGCAGCTCGGAAGAAGGCGGAGGAGGAGAGGGATGAGGCTATGAAGGCTAAGGAGGAGGCGGAGAGGGAACGAGACGAGGCGAAGGGGGAACGGGAAGAGGCGAAGAGGGCGCGTGAGGCGGCGGAAAGTAAGCAAGGGGAGGCGGAGAAGAGAAGAGACGAGGCTGAGAGATTAAGGGAGGAAGCAGAGGCACGGAGGGAGGAGGCTGAAATCGAGAGAGGGAAGGCGGAAGAGGAGAAAAATAAAGCGAAGAAGGAGAGGGAAGAGGCGGATGAAGCACGGGGAGTGGCGGAGAGGGAGAGGGATGGGGCAGTAAAGGATAAGGAGGAGGCGGAGAGGGAAAGGGATGAAGCAGTAAAGGTTAAGGAGGAGGCGGAGAGGGAGAGGAATGAGGCAGTTAAGGGTAAGGAGGAGGCAGAGAGGGAGAGGGAGGAGGCAGTTAAGGGAAAGGAGGAGGCAGAGAGGGAGAGGGAGGAGGCAGTTAGGGTAAAGAAAGAGGCGGAAACTGAGAGGGATGAGTCAGTAAAGGGTAAGGAGGAGGCGGAGAGGGAGAGGGATGAGGCTGTAAAGGGTAAAGAGGAGGCGGATTCAAGACGAGCAGAGGCTGAAAGCGCTCGTGAAGCGGCTGAGAAGAGGAGGGAGGAGGCAGAGGGTAGAAGAGAAGCTGCGGAGAGGGAGAAGGAGGAAGCGGAGCAGGCACGTGCAGAAGCAGAGGCACGGAGAGTCGAGGCTGAGAGGTCTCGTGCAGAGGCTGAGGGGATGAGAGAGGGGGCTGAGAGGGCGAAAGAGAAGGCTGAGAAGGAGAAAGTGGAAGCGGGTAAAGCGAGAGAAGAGGCGGAAAGGGAGAAGGAGCAGGCAGAGAAGAGAAGAGAGGAAGCTGAGAAGGCAAGGGAGGAAGAAGAGAAGCTGAGGGAGGGAGCAGAAAGGGCACGAGATGAGGCGGAGAAAGCCAAGGAGGAGGCGGAGAAAGCTAGAGAAGAGGCAGAGAAGGCCAAGAGCGAGGTAGAATCGAAGCTGGCAGTGGCAGAGACGAGCAGAGTGGCATCCGAGCAGGCGTGTGCTCACGCTGATGAGAGATCAGCTGAGGCTGAGAAGCAGCGAGTAGCAGCTGTGCAGGCTTGCTCCGATGCGAGGGTGCTAGCCGAGGAGGCAGAGAGAAGACGGGAAGGTGCTGAGATGAAGCAGACGGAAGAGGAAAAGAGGAGGAAGGAGGCAGAGGAGAGGAGGAGAGAAGCGGAAGGGAGAAGGGATGAGGCGGAGAGAGAGCGGGAGGAGGCTGTGAAAGTGAGAGAGGAGGCAGAGGCGAGGAGGGAAGCTGCTGACAAAGCCAAGGAGGAGGCTGAGGAGAGGCTACGTGAGGCAGAGAAAGCAAGGGCTGCTGCTGAGGAGGCGCGGGAGGAGAGCGAGAAGGCAAGGGAGGAGGCTGAGTCAAGGAAGAAAGAGGCCGAAAAGGCAAGGGAGGGGGCGGAGAAGGGAAGGGAGGAGGCACTACAGAGGGCGGCAGCGGCGGAGGAGAAGAGCGAGAAGGAGAGGAAGGCGAGGGAAGAAGCTGAGAGGGCGAGAGGGGATGCTGGGAGGGCGAGAGAGGAAGCTCACAGGGCGAGGGAAGAGGCGGAAAAGAGTACAGAGGAAGCAATCCAGGCGAGAGAGGATGCAGAGGCGCGACGTGAGGATGCAGAGAATGGTCGGATGGAAGCAGAGAGGAGGCAAGCAGAGGCGGAGAGGAAGCAAGCAGAGGCTGAGGCGGCGAGGGAAGAAGCAGTGGAAGCGAGGCAGCAGGCAGAGGTGGCGAGGGAGGGGGCTGAGAGGAAGCAAGCAGATGCAGAAACGAGACAAGCAGAGGCAGGGGTGGCGAAGGAGTCAGCAGAAGCAGCACGTGCAGAAGCGGAGGTGAGGAGGACTGAAGCTGAGAGCGATAGGGACGAGGCGTTAGCAGCTAGGGATAATGCATTGGCTGCCAGTGGTGAGGCATTGGCAGCAGAGGCTGCAGCAGCGGCGGCGAAGGAAGAGGGTGATAAAGCAAGGGAGGAAGCTGAGAGGGCCAGAGAGGAAGCTAAGAATGCGAAAGAAGAAGCTGACAAGGCAAGGGAGGAGGCTGAGGCGAGGCAAGGCGAGGCAGAGAAAAGAGCAGAGGAGGCAGAAGAACGGGCAAGGGAAGCAGAGGAAAGGGTCAAGCAGTCAGAGGAGAAGGCAAGGGAAGCAGAGATGGCGGAGAGAGAATCGAGGGAAGAGAGTGAGGTGGCGAAGAGGGCACAGGAGGAAGCAGAGAGCACACGCGAGGCAGCGGAGCGAGGTAGAGAGGCAGCTGAGAGGGCGAAAGAGGAGGCTGAGAAGGCAAGGAGGGAGGCTGAGAAGGGGAAGGAGGAATCGGAGCAAGCACGCGCAGCAGCTGAAATGTTGACAAATGAGGCACTTAGAGCAAAGGAGGAGGCTGAGAGAGACAGAGACGAGGGTGAGAAGGCGAGGAAGGAGGCGGAGAGGGGCAGGCGAGAAGCAGAGAGAGCACAGGCGGAGGCGGAGAGGCAGAGAGACGAGGCGGAGAGGCGAATGGCTGGTGCTGGGATGAGCAAGGATGAGGCGGAGAGGGAGCGGGAGGAGGCGCATTGGGGCAGGGCGGAGGCGGAAAGGAGGATGGAGGAGGCGGAAAGCAGGAGGGAGGAGGCGGAGAGGAGGAGAGATGAGGCGGAGAGAGCATGGGAAGTTTCTGAGAAGGTGAGAGAAGAGGCTGTGAGAGAGAAGGAAGAGGTTGTTCAGGGGATGGTCGAAGCGGAGGAGAGGCGAGTGGAGGCAGGGAGGAGGCGAAGCGAGGCGGAAGAGAGGGAGAGGGAGGCGGAGAAGGCTTGGGAGGAGGCGGAGGTGGCTCGGGAAGAGGCTGAGAAGGCTCGGGAGGTTGCAGCTAAAGCTGCGGAAGAGGCTGAGCAGGCAAAGAGAGAGGCGCTTGAAGCTAAGGTAGGTGCGGAGGAGAGGAGGGCGGAGGCAGAGAGGTCTCAAGATGCTGCAGAGGCGAAGGCAGCTGAAATAGAGAAGGCGATGGAAGAGGCTGTGTGTGCGAAGGCAGATGAGGAGGAGAGGAGGGAGGAGGCAGAAAGAGCACGAGTTGCTGCAGAGGCGAAGGCAGGTGAACTAGAGAGGGCTTTGGAAGAGGCTGTGTGGGCAAAGGCAGAGGCGGAGGAGAAGAGGGTGGAGGCTGAAAGAGCACGAGATGCTGCAGAGGCGAAGGTGGAGGGACTAGAGAGGGCTGTGGCAGAGGCAGAGGCGGCGAGGAAGGTAGCAGAGGAGGAGAGGGATGAGGCGCTGAGGGGCGAGGACTGTGCAGTGGAGGAGCGGTATGAGCTGGTGCAGGCTCTTGAAAGGGCGGGTGAGGAGAGAGATGAGTTGACAAGGGCTGCTGAAGCAATGAAAGGGGAGAGGGATGAGGTGGTGCAGGCTCTGCAGAGGGTGACTGAGGAGAAGGGTGAGCTGGAGAGGGCTGTTGCAGCAGCGATATGGGAGAGGGATGAAGCGGTGAGGGCTGTTGAAGCAGCGATAGGGGAGAGGGATGAAGCGGTGAGGGCTGTTGAAGCAGCGATAGGGGAGAGGGATGAAGCGGTGAGGGCTGTTGAAGCAGCGAGAGGGGAGAGAGATGAAGCGGTGAGGGCTGTTGAAGCCGCGAGAGGGGAGAGAGATGAAGCGGTGAGGGCTGTTGAAGCAGTGAGAGGGGAGAGAGATGAAGCGGTGAGGGCTGTTGAAGCAGTGAGAGGGGAGAGGGATGAGCTGGTGCAGGCTCTTGAGAGGATGGGTGAGGAGAGGGATGATCTGATGAGGGCTGCTGCAGCAGTGAGAGGGGAGAAGGATGGGGTGGTGCAGGCGGTTGAGATGACGGGTGAGGAGAGGGATGAGATGACGAGGGCTGTTGCAGAGGCTGTTAGGGAGAGGGATGAAGCGGTGAAGGCTGTTGAAGAGGCTGTTACAGAGAGGGATGAAGCGATGAGGGCTGTTGAAGCAGCAAGAGAGGAGAGGGACAGGGCAGTCGAGGCTGTTGCGTTGGCAGTAGAAGAGAGGAACGAAGCAGTGAGGACTCTTGACAGGGTGACAGCGGAGAGGGACGAGGCGATGCTGGTGATTGATGAGGCTGTTGGGGCGCTTGGAGGGGCCGTTGGGGCGCGGGAGGCGCGAGGGCTGGTTGGAGAGAGAGTGGTGATTAGGGAGGGGGAGGCGATCAGGGAGAGAGAGGCGATTAGGGAGGGGGAGGCGATCAGGGAGAGAGAGGCGATTAGGGAGGGGGAGGCGATCAGGGAGAGAGAGGCGATTAGGGAGGGGGAGGCGATCAGGGAGAGAGAGGCGATTAGGGAGGGGGATGCGAGTGGCTTGGTTGAGGAGAGGGATGTGAGGGAGGAGAGCGATGTGAGGGAGGAGAGCGATGTGATTGGGGAGAGGGAGGAGGCTGGGGAGGGGGAAGCGATTGAGGAGAGGGAGATGAGAGAGACGGTGAACGCAGATGAAGCTGAAGCAGCAGGAGTGGATGGAGACAAGGTGACGACTTGTGTGGGGTGTTCAAGTAAGTGTGAAGGGTTGGTGGGTGGGAGAGGCGAGGTGGAAGGGAGGTGGCCGGACGCGGCTGCGGTTAAGGACGACGAGAAGTGGTGGAGGGCGGTGGAGAGCGATAGGGAGGAAGCGGAGAGGCGGCGGGAAGAGGCGAAGGGAAGACTGGAGGAGCTGAAGGGGATTCTTGATGAGGTGAGGGGGAAGCAGGAGGAGTCTGAGCGGAAACTAGAGGAAGTTGAGAAACAACTGGTGGACATGGGGATTGAGAAGGCAGAGGCAGAGAGGACGAGAGAGGAGGCGGAAAGAGGGAGGGAGGAGGCGGAAAGAGGGAGGGAGGAGGCGGAACGAGGGAGGGAGGAGGCGGAAAGGAGGAGGGAAGAGGCGGAGGCAGGGAGAGATGAAGCTGAAAGGGCGAAGGTTGAGGCTTTGGTAAGGTTGGAAGAGGTCGAGATGGCACGAGCAGAGGTGGAGAGTGAGAAGGTTGAGGCAGAGGAGGGGAGAGTGAGTGCAGAGGAGCAGAGGGATGAGGCTGAGAGGAGGAGGGATGATTCTTTGAGGGAGAAAGAGGAAGTGGAGAGGGAAAGGGAGGAGGCGGAGAAAGCGAAAGCGGAGGCGGAGAAAGCAAAGGAGGAGGCGGAGAAAGCATGGAAGGGAGAGGAGTTGAGGAGAGACGAGGCAGAGAAGGCGCTAGAAGAGGCACTGGAGGCAGGTTTTGTGGTGGATGGGCGGACGGGGGAGACAGAGAGGAGGAGAGAGGAGGCAGAGCAGAGCAGAGAAGAGGCAGAGAAGATGAGAGAAGTGGCAGAGAAGGGAAGAGAGGAAGCAGAGAGGAGGAGAGAGGAGGCAGAGAGGAGGGGAGATGAGGCAGAGAGGGCACTAGAAGAGGCGCTAGAGGCAGTAGTGCAGGCAGAGGTTCGAAGGGAAGAGGCGGAGAGGGATAGAGATGAGGCAGAGAGGAGGAGGGAAGAGGCGGAGAGGAGAAAAGAAGAGGTTGAGAAGGATTTGACTGAGCTGGTGGTGAAGCTTGAGGTACTAGAGAAGGCAAAAGCAGAGGCGGAGGAGGGGGGTCAGGAAAAAAATGCATTGACAGGTGAAGATGCAGAAAAGGGGGAAGTGGATGGGAGGATTACAGAGGGGGAGAGGGAGAGGGAGCGGGTGGAACGGGAGGTGGAAGAGTTGACAGTGCAGATAGAGGTACTAGAGAGAGAGAAGGAGGAGGGTGAACGGGAGAAGGAGAGAGCTGAGAAGGAGAAGGAAGAGGCATTGAGAGAAAGGGAGGAGGTTGTGAGACGGCTTGAGGAGATGCTGGAAGAGGTGAGAAGGGAAAGGGAGGAGGCTGAACAAGAGAAGGAGGAAGCTTACAAAAGGGCAGAAGATGCTGGAGTACGAGCTGAGGAGGCTGGTAAGGCGAGTGAGGAAGCAGCGAGGCGAGTGAGAGAGGCAGAAGCAGGAAGAGAAGAGGCGGAGAGGAGGAGAGAAGTAGCAGAGGGGGCACTGTCGCTAGCAGAGGTGGTATTGCAGGAGGCGGAGGTGTGGAGAGAAGAGGCAGGGAGGCGTTGGGGAGAAGCAGAGGGGGCAGTGTTGATGGTCGAGGTGGTATTGCAGGAGACAGAGGCGTGGAGAGAGGCGGCAGAGAGGAAGTTGGCAGAAGGAGAGGGTTTATGGAAAGAAGCTGCGCGTGCGAGAGAGGAGGCAGAGAGGAGGAGAGAAGAAGCAGAGGGGGCACTGTCGCTAGCAGAGGTGGTATTGCAGGAGGCAGAGGTGTGGAGAGAAGAGGCGGTGAGGAGATTAGAAGAGGGAGAGGCGTTGAGGAAGGAGGCTGAGCGGGCGAGAGAGGAGGCTGAGAAGAGGAGGGAAGAAGCAGAGGCGGCTGTGGGGGTAGCAGAGGCAGCGAGGGATGAGATGGAGCGGGCGAAAGAGGAGGCTGAGGCTAGCTGGGAAGAGGCGCTGGGAATGCTGGGAGAGGCTGAGAGAGGGAGAGAGGAGGCGGAGAGGAGAAGAGAGGAGGCGGAGAGGGGGAGAGAGGAGGCGGAAAGACGAGGAGAGGGGGCAGAGAGTGAAGGAGAGGAGGCAGAAGGTAAGGAACGAGGGGAGGCTGCAACGCACAGTTGTGAAGAGGGTGTGGTGATTGTGTCAGAAGCTGATGAACAACCTGTAGAGACGAGAGGGGCTGGCGAGGAAATGGAGGGAGAGATTGGGGAAGAGGAAACGGAAAATGGTGGTGTGCAGGGAGAGGAGGGAGGAGAGGCAGTGGAGGGCGTTTTAAAATGCGCGCCAAGGGTGGGTAAGGGATGGGGTGGAGGTGAGGGGGATGGGGAGAGCAGTGGGGGGGAGGAGGAGGATAAGGGCTGCAGCCGGGAGGAGAAGCGTCGGGAGAGCAGTGGGGAGGAGGAGCAGGTGAAGGGAGTGATTTGCCACTGCACTCAGAAAGAGGTGCTTCCTGAGGGTGCTGTGTCCGAGGTGCCACGCCGAGGGTGGCCGAATCCTGACAGCAGTGGTGGGGAGACAAGTGTAGCTGGCATGAGCTTGTTGGAAAGGGGGGAGTTGGAGAGGGAGAGGGATGAGCTAAGAGTGCGGTGGGAGGCGGCAGAGGAGAGACGGAGGGAGCTGGAAGCGATTGTGAGTAAAACGGGTGTGCAGTTAGAGAGGGCGAATGGGGTGGAGGAGAGAGACGAGGCAGTGCATGTGATGCATGAGGCAGTGAGAGAAAAGGATGAGGCTCTGGAAGCCAGGGACGAGGCGTTTAAGGCGAGGGATGAAGCTGAGAAGGCGAAGCGAGAGGCAGAAGCGAAGGTTGAGGAGGCGGAGAAGGAGAGGGATGAGGCATGTGAAGCAAGGGATGAAGCAGTGCGAGCGTGGGAGGGTGCGGAGGAGGCAAGGAGAGAGGCGGAGGCGGCGAGGGATGAAGCGTTGGAATCAAGAGAGGGGATTCAGAAGTTATGGGATGATGCTGAGGAGGCGAGGAGAGCGACGGAGGCATGGCTTGAAGAGTTTAAGCAGGCTTTGGAGGCAGCTGAAATGGCAAGGCAAGAGGCTGAGATGGCTAAGGACGTGGCAGAGGCAGCGAGAGAGGAGGCTGAGGCAGCTTGGAAGGAGGCAATGGAGAAAGCAGCAGATGCGGAGGAGAGGAGTGAGGAGGAGAGGAAGGTGAGAGAAGAAGCAGAGAGGGCGAGGGAAGAAGCAGAGAAGGCAAGGGAGGAAGCAGAAAGGATGAGAGGGGAGGCTGAGAAGGGGAGGGAGGAGGCGGTAGCGCAACAAGCCATGCCGTGCAGTGCATGTGCGGAAAAAGACGAGGCGATGCAATCCATTCTCAATGAGCTTGTCGCTGCCCAGGCTGCCTCCGAAGCTGCCATAGCCTCGGCGGCTGCCAACGCTGCTGAGGAGGTCCGGGCAGAGCTTCAGATGGCACAGGAAGGATGGGAGAAGCGGCTGAGTGAAGTGGAAGGGGAGTTGGAGCGTGTGAAAGGGGAAGGAGAGAAGCTTGAGAAGAGAGTGAAGGAAGCAGAGGAGGAGGGTGTGAGATTGCGAGAGGAGGTGGAGGGAGAGAGGAAGGGGAGGGAGGAGGAGAGAGCTGCCAAGGAGGAAGAGAAGAGAGCAAAGGAAGAGGAGAGGAGGGAAAAGGAGGCGGAGAGGGAGAGGAGGGAGCAGGCGGAGGCAGGGAGGAGGGTAGCAGAGGAGGAGGCACAGCTGACTAGGGAGGACTTGGAGGTGATGCGAGAGGCAAAGAGGGAGACCGTGCGCAACCTCACAGACTCCTTCCTGGCGGCGGAGGAGCAGCGGAAGCGGCTGCTGTTTCTGCTTCGCAAGGCACAAGTCATTGAAGGTGAGGGATTGGTGCGTGTGTGTGTGTGTGTCGTTCTCTAGAATTCTCAAAATGGCCCGCAACAAAGAGGGAGACGGTGCGCAACCTCACAGACTCCTTCCTGGCCGTGTTGTTTTCTTCGTGTCCCAAAAACAACTCGCACAGGCCATTGAAGGTGAGAGACTGGTGTGTATTGCAAATGCTGGGTTGGTTGAAGTCAAAATGGTGGGCTGCAAATCGTTTGCCAGTCAGGGGATGGTGATAAAACTAGTGAAGGGCTGGATGGGGATGGTGAGCGAGCCTGCGGCAAGCAATCATTGTTTTGCTCCTTCCCCTGTTGTGTTACGTCCATCATGCAGGTCTCTAGCACCCCCGACATGTGTACAGGCATGACATACCGTAGGTCATCCTTATAAGGTCACCGAGGAGGAGATAAATTTGCAGGGATTGCTGCTATGCTATGGATAGTGGTGACAACACAACTCTGTTGATATAGGTCCATAATTTTTATGTCTCCCGTGTCGGTGTATGGGATGCAGCCCTTTCTGTTCTTCAAACAAAATTATTACCTCTGTAGCTTTGCGACGCCTCTGAATGTTTTTTTTTTTATGAGGCTTTGCAATCCAGTTAATGCCGTCAGTGTATACGAATCAGTCACAGGCTTTGAGAAGAGGAGCAATTATTGTTGACTGACTAGTTGATATAAATCAGCTTACCTCCTACCTTATTTTCTACAGATTTTCAGGATAGTAATCAAATCGCATTCTTGCTACATAATGGGTGTCAAGTGAGGCGAAATAGTTGGAGTCGAATTCGCTGCTCTAAGGGGAACCGATCTGAACCGTTTGAGCGCGAACCGTCTGTTAGCGCGGGGAACCTTATGGAACCGCACTAGGTAAACGAAAGACGATTTGTCCGTTGAGACCAGCATTCACGCACCGCTGAAGTAGCCACACTCTAGGCGCGCAGGAATCGCCGCAAGCATGGTGGAGCGCGCAGCCTACCAGCGGTCGCGCAACGCGTCGCAACAGCGGCGGACGTCGCAGCAGCAGCAAGGCCAGTCGCATAGCCAGGTCGCGCAGCCGTCGCAGCAGCCGCAGTCGCAGCAACAAGAGCAGGCGCACGGGCACAATGTGAGCACCGTTGCTCAACCGCCAAACGCGCAGGCGCAAGCGCAGCCGGCGCAACCCGCGCAGCAAAGGGCTCATCATCGCGTGCTTCCACCGCAGCCGCGGCAACCGGCGCAGCAGAAGCGGCAGCAGTTGCGCCAGACCGCGGCGCAACGGCGCACGGCGCAAGCGCAGGCCGCGCGGCAAACTGGGGGGGATACGGGGAAGGCGCAACCTGGCCAGGGGGATACGGGGAAGCCGCCGCAGGGTCAGGGGGGCCATGGGAAGGCGCAACTGGGCGGGGGCGCGAATCCGCCAGTGCACGCCCCGCTTCCGCCCCTGCCGCGGAAGCAGCAGTCGCGGATGCAAGCGCAGGGGGAGCAGCAGGGGGAAGCGCAGGCGGAGCAGCAAGGGGGGCATCAGGCGGGGCAGCAGGGGGTACAGCATAGGGGGCAGCAGGGGGGGCAAGCGAATAGGTTACAACAAGAACCATCACAGCAGCAACCAGAACAGCAGCACCAGCAGCAGCAGCAGCAGCAGCATGGTTCCGCCGGGCAGGATGGAACACACGGGCAGGCGTCCGGGCAGACGAAAGGGCACCTTCAAACAGACGGCCAGGAGCCAGGGGGGCAAACCCAAGGCCACGGGCAGGGAAGCGGGCAGGCTTCCGGGCAGGTTCCCGGGCAGGTTTCGGAGCAGCTGCCAATGCACGAAGGCCACGTGGAGCATGCTATTCTGCCCGAGCGGCCGGATTGGCTGGATGATTACGAGATAGTGGGGAAGATAGGCGAGGGGACGTACGGGCTGGTGTATCTGGCGAAGGACCGGCGCAAGGGCAAGGGGTCGGGGCGGTCGGCTCTTAAGAAGTTCAAACAGACCAAGGAGGGCGATGGCGTGTCCCCCACTGCCATTCGCGAGATCATGGTGAGAGGGGGGAGGGGGGAGGGGGGAAAAAGAAGAAGGCGAGGGGTAGGGGGAGGGGAGGGAGAGGGGATCAAGGGAGGGGGAGGGCAAGGGGGAGGGAGAGAGGGAGAGGGTGAGGGCAAGGGGTCGGGGAGGTGGGCTGGGGTGAAGAAGGCAACGTGCAACGTGCACATCCGCTACCACACATGCCATTCCATGCCACCCTGTTGCTCCCTTGCTTTCTCGTTCTCGTTTTCTTTTCCTGCCTGACTCTTCCTTCCTCCACCAGCTACAACAAGAGTGCGAGCACGAGAACACAGTGCAGCTGCTGAACACAATGAGTTATCACACAAGCCACCCTCTTTCTGTCTTGCTGTCTTGCTCGCTTGTTCCGCCCCCTCACCAGCTACTACAGGAGTGCGAGCACGAGAACATAGTGCAGCTGCTCAACGTGCACATCAACCACCCCCTTGCTCCCTCTCTCCCCGTCCCCTGCCTGCCTCTCTCATCTCCCTCCACCCCCCCCTCAACACAACAGCTACTACAGGAGTGCGAGCACGAGAACATAGTGCAGCTGCTCAACGTGCACATCAACCACACCGACATGTCGCTCTTTCTTGCCTTTGACTACGCCGAGCATGACCTCTATGTGAGCATGACCTCTATGTGAGCATGACCTCTATGTGAGCATGACCTCTATGTGAGCATGACCTCTATGTGAGCATGACCTCTATGTGAGCATGACCTCTATGTGAGCCCGAACCTAAGCAATCAGTCTTGGCTCTGAAAGGTAACTACATTTTAGCACGGCTCTATGAGACTAAGCATCTTGGGTATTCGCGCATGTGCATGTGCAGCACCCCCATGCAAAATCACAGGACACACCATCCACTTCCACCACAAGCATCTGAAGCGCCCTCTCTCCGAGTGAGCCCTAACCTAATCAGTGCCTTCTTCACATGCCTTCCCTTCCCCCCATACCATCCCCCCACGCCCTCCTCATACATGTTGCCATGCCATGCGCGCGCAAACAGGAGATCATCCGTTTCCACCGCGAGCACCTGAAGCGCCCTCTCTCCGTTGGTACTATGACGAGAGGAGATCACACGCCAACCAACCACACAGCATATGAGCGACCCCTGAGAATCCTCGAAAACACCTTCCCCCCATGCACGCCCCTCAGGAGATCATCCGCTTCCACCGCAAGCACCTGAAGCGCCCTCTCTATGTGTGTGTGAGCGTTAACCTATTCAGTGCCATCTTCACATGCATTCCCCCATACCTTCCCCCCACACCACGCCATGCCATGCCATGTGCGCGCAAACAGGAGATCATCCGGTTCCATCGAGAGCATCTGAAGCGCCCTCTCTCGGAGTACACGGTGAAGTCGCTGCTCTGGCAGCTGCTGAATGGACTGCACTACCTGCACAGGTGGGTAGGAGAATAGGTGGGTGTATGGGTGGGGCAAGGCAAGCACGTGTCAAGTGCATGTCATGCACTCACTGCGAGCACTTGAGGTGCCCCTCCTTTGAGTACACAGTGAAGTCGCTGCTGTGGCAGCTGCTCAACGGCCTGCACTACCTGCACTACCTGCACTACCTGCACTACCTGCACTACCTGCACAGGTGGGCGTGTAGGTGAATGGGAGTGCGGGTGTGTGGCAGTCAGCAGTTGCCAACTTGCCAGTTCGATGCAGTACCAGCAACTATGGGGTGGTGGAGTGAACAAGGGGTGTCCACATGTGGTGTCTATAGGTGCTACCTGCCTACTCTGCACAGTTCGGCCATGCATGGTGATCTCGTTCCTGCAGCTGTGCTGCTCTCATGTATTCCTCTCACTTGTTGTGCTTCCCATTGCTTCCCGTCTTCTGCGTGACACAGCAATTGGATCATTCATCGAGATCTCAAGCCCTCCAACATCCTTGTAAGCTAAGCTGGCCAGCTGTTAGGCCGTCTAGAGAAACAGTGTGGCTGGCACATGGGGGGCCCACGCTGTTTTTGGGTTGACTTTTGAGTCGACTCAAAAGTCAACAAGGGACCTCACCAGTGTGGCTGGCACATGGGGGGCCCACGCTGTTTTTGGGTTGACTTTTGAGTCGACTCAAAAGTCAACAAGGGACCTCACCAGTGGGGCTGGCACATGGGGGGCCCACGCTGTTTTTGGGTTGACTTTTGAGTCGACTCAAAAGTCAACAAGGGACCTCACCAGTGTGGCTGGCACATGGGGGGCCCACGCTGTTTTTGGGTTGACTTTTGAGTCGACTCAAAAGTCAACAAGGGACCTCACCAGTGTGGCTGGCACATGGGGGGCCCACGCTGTTTTTGGGTTGACTTTTGAGTCGACTCAAAAGTCAACAAGGGACCTCACCAGTGTGGCTGGCACATGGGGGGCCCACGCTGTTTTTGGGTTGACTTTTGAGTCGACTCAAAAGTCAACAAGGGACCTCACCAGTGTGGCTGGCACATGGGGGGCCCACGCTGTTTTTGGGTTGACTTTTGAGTCGACTCAAAAGTCAACAAGGGACCTCACCAGTGTGGCTGGCACATGGGGGGCCCACGCTGTTTTTGGGTTGACTTTTGAGTCGACTCAAAAGTCAACAAGGGACCTCACCAGTGTGGCTGGCACATGGGGGGCCCACGCTGTTTTTGGGTTGACTTTTGAGTCGACTCAAAAGTCAACAAGGGACCTCACCAGTGTGGCTGGCACATGGGGGGCCCACGCTGTTTTTGGGTTGACTTTTGAGTCGACTCAAAAGTCAACAAGGGACCTCACCAGTGTGGCTGGCACATGGGGGGCCCACGCTGTTTTTGGGTTGACTTTTGAGTCGACTCAAAAGTCAACAAGGGACCTCACCAGTGTGGCTGGCACATGGGGGGCCCACGCTGTTTTTGGGTTGACTTTTGAGTCGACTCAAAAGTCAACAAGGGACCTCACCAGTGTGGCTGGCACATGGGGGGCCCACGCTGTTTTTGGGTTGACTTTTGAGTCGACTCAAAAGTCAACAAGGGACCTCACCAGTGTGGCTGGCACATGGGGGGCCCACGCTGTTTTTGGGTTGACTTTTGAGTCGACTCAAAAGTCAACAAGGGACCTCACCAGTGTGGCTGGCACATGGGGGGCCCACTCTGTTTTTGGGTTGACTTTTGAGTCGACTCAAAAGTCAACAAGGGACCTCACCAGTGTGGCTGGCACATGGGGGGCCCACGCTGTTTTTGGGTTGACTTTTGAGTCGACTCAAAAGTCAACAAGGGACCTCACCAGTGTGGCTGGCACATGGGGGGCCCACGCTGTTTTTGGGTTGACTTTTGAGTCGACTCAAAAGTCAACAAGGGACCTCACCAGTATGGCTGGCACATGGGGGGCCCACGCTGTTTTTGGGTTGACTTTTGAGTCGACTCAAAGTCAACAAGGGACCTCACCAGTGCGGCTGGCACATGGGGGCCCACGCTGTTTTTGGGTTGACTTTTGAGTCGACTCAAAAGTCAACAAGGGACCTCACCAGTGTGGCTGGCACATGGGGGGCCCACGCTGTTTTTGGGTTGACTTTTGAGTCGACTCAAAAGTCAACAAGGGACCTCACCAGTGTGGCTGGCACATGGGGGGCCCACGCTGTTTTTGAGTTGACTTTTGAGTCGACTCAAAAGTCAACAAGGGACCTCACCAGTGCGGCTGGCACATGGGGGGCCCACGCTGTTTTTGGGTTGACCTTTGAGTCGACTCAAAAGTCAACAAGGGACCTCACCAGTGCGGCTGGCACATGGGGGGCCCACGCTGTTTTTGGGTTGACTTTTGAGTCGACTCAAAAGTCAACAAGGGACCTCACCAGTGTGGCTGGCACATGGGGGGCCCACGCTGTTTTTGGGTTGACTTTTGAGTCGACTCAAAAGTCAACAAGGGACCTCACCAGTGTGGCTGGCACATGGGGGGCCCACGCTGTTTTTGGGTTGACTTTTGAGTCGACTCAAAAGTCAACAAGGGACCTCACCAGTGTGGCTGGCACAGGGGGGCCCACGCTGTTTTTGGGTTGACTTTTGAGTCGACTCAAAAGTCAACAAGGGACCTCACCAGTGTGGCTGGCACATGGGGGGCCCACGCTGTTTTTGGGTTGACTTTTGAGTCGACTCAAAAGTCAACAAGGGACCTCACCAGTGCGGCTGGCACATGGGGGCCCACGCTGTTTTTGGGTTGACTTTTGAGTCGACTCAAAAGTCAACAAGGGACCTCACCAGTGTGGCTGGCACATGGGGGGCCCACGCTGTTTTTGGGTTGACTTTTGAGTCGACTCAAAAGTCAACAAGGGACCTCACCAGTGTGGCTGGCACATGGGGGGCCCACGCTGTTTTTGGGTTGACTTTTGAGTCGACTCAAAAGTCAACAAGGGACCTCACCAGTGTGGCTGGCACATGGGGGGCCCACGCTGTTTTTGGGTTGACTTTTGAGTCGACTCAAAAGTCAACAAGGGACCTCACCAGTGTGGCTGGCACATGGGGGGCCCACGCTGTTTTTGGGTTGACTTTTGAGTCGACTCAAAAGTCAACAAGGGACCTCACCAGTGTGGCTGGCACATGGGGGGCCCACGCTGTTTTTGGGTTGACTTTTGAGTCGACTCAAAAGTCAACAAGGGACCTCACCAGTGTGGCTGGCACATGGGGGGCCCACGCTGTTTTTGGGTTGACTTTTGAGTCGACTCAAAAGTCAACAAGGGACCTCACCAGTATGGCTGGCACATGGGGGGCCCACGCTGTTTTTGGGTTGACTTTTGAGTCGACTCAAAGTCAACAAGGGACCTCACCAGTGCGGCTGGCACATGGGGGCCCACGCTGTTTTTGGGTTGACTTTTGAGTCGACTCAAAAGTCAACAAGGGACCTCACCAGTGTGGCTGGCACATGGGGGGCCCACGCTGTTTTTGGGTTGACTTTTGAGTCGACTCAAAAGTCAACAAGGGACCTCACCAGTGTGGCTGGCACATGGGGGGCCCACGCTGTTTTTGAGTTGACTTTTGAGTCGACTCAAAAGTCAACAAGGGACCTCACCAGTGCGGCTGGCACATGGGGGGCCCACGCTGTTTTTGGGTTGACTTTTGAGTCGACTCAAAAGTCAACAAGGGACCTCACCAGTGCGGCTGGCACATGGGGGGCCCACGCTGTTTTTGGGTTGACTTTTGAGTCGACTCAAAAGTCAACAAGGGACCTCACCAGTGTGGCTGGCACATGGGGGGCCCACGCTGTTTTTGGGTTGACTTTTGAGTCGACTCAAAAGTCAACAAGGGACCTCACCAGTGTGGCTGGCACATGGGGGGCCCACGCTGTTTTTGGGTTGACTTTTGAGTCGACTCAAAAGTCAACAAGGGACCTCACCAGTGTGGCTGGCACATGGGGGGCCCACGCTGTTTTTTGGTTGACTTTTGAGTCGACTCAAAAGTCAACAAGGGACCTCACCAGTGTGGCTGGCACAGGGGGGCCCACGCTGTTTTTGGGTTGACTTTTGAGTCGACTCAAAAGTCAACAAGGGACCTCACCAGTGTGGCTGGCACATGGGGGGCCCACGCTGTTTTTGAGTTGACTTTTGAGTCGACTCAAAAGTCAACAAGGGACCTCACCAGTGTGGCTGGCACATGGGGGGCCCACGCTGTTTTTGGGTTGACTTTTGAGTCGACTCAAAAGTCAACAAGGGACCTCACCAGTGTGGCTGGCACATGGGGGGCCCACGCTGTTTCTGGGTTGACTTTTGAGTCGACTCAAAAGTCAACAAGGGACCTCACCAGTGCGGCTGGCACATGGGGGGCCCACGCTGTTTTTGGGTTTACTTTTGAGTCGACTCAAAAGTCAACAAGGGACCTCACCAGTGTGGCTGGCACATGGGGGGCCCACGCTGTTTTTGGGTTGACTTTTGAGTCGACTCAAAAGTCAACAAGGGACCTCACCAGTGCGGCTGGCACATGGGGGGCCCACGCTGTTTTTGGGTTGACTTTTGAGTCGACTCAAAAGTCAACAAGGGACCTCACCAGTGTGGCTGGCACATGGGGGGCCCACGCTGTTTTTGGGTTGACTTTTGAGTCGACTCAAAAGTCAACAAGGGACCTCACCAGTGTGGCTGGCACATGGGGGGCCCACGCTGTTTTTGAGTTGACTTTTGAGTCGACTCAAAAGTCAACAAGGGACCTCACCAGTGCGGCTGGCACATGGGGGGCCCACGCTGTTTTTGGGTTGACTTTTGAGTCGACTCAAAAGTCAACAAGGGACCTCACCAGTGCGGCTGGCACATGGGGGGCCCACGCTGTTTTTGGGTTGACTTTTGAGTCGACTCAAAAGTCAACAAGGGACCTCACCAGTGTGGCTGGCACATGGGGGGCCCACGCTGTTTTTGGGTTGACTTTTGAGTCGACTCAAAAGTCAACAAGGGACCTCACCAGTGTGGCTGGCACATGGGGGGCCCACGCTGTTTTTGGGTTGACTTTTGAGTCGACTCAAAAGTCAACAAGGGACCTCACCAGTGTGGCTGGCACATGGGGGGCCCACGCTGTTTTTGGGTTGACTTTTGAGTCGACTCAAAAGTCAACAAGGGACCTCACCAGTGTGGCTGGCACATGGGGGGCCCACGCTGTTTTTGAGTTGACTTTTGAGTCGACTCAAAAGTCAACAAGGGACCTCACCAGTGCGGCTGGCACATGGGGGGCCCACGCTGTTTTTGGGTTGACTTTTGAGTCGACTCAAAAGTCAACAAGGGACCTCACCAGTGCGGCTGGCACATGGGGGGCCCACGCTGTTTTTGGGTTGACTTTTGAGTCGACTCAAAAGTCAACAAGGGACCTCACCAGTGTGGCTGGCACATGGGGGGCCCACGCTGTTTTTGGGTTGACTTTTGAGTCGACTCAAAAGTCAACAAGGGACCTCACCAGTGTGGCTGGCACATGGGGGGCCCACGCTGTTTTTGGGTTGACTTTTGAGTCGACTCAAAAGTCAACAAGGGACCTCACCAGTGTGGCTGGCACATGGGGGGCCCACGCTGTTTTTTGGTTGACTTTTGAGTCGACTCAAAAGTCAACAAGGGACCTCACCAGTGTGGCTGGCACAGGGGGGCCCACGCTGTTTTTGGGTTGACTTTTGAGTCGACTCAAAAGTCAACAAGGGACCTCACCAGTGTGGCTGGCACATGGGGGGCCCACGCTGTTTTTGAGTTGACTTTTGAGTCGACTCAAAAGTCAACAAGGGACCTCACCAGTGTGGCTGGCACATGGGGGGCCCACGCTGTTTTTGGGTTGACTTTTGAGTCGACTCAAAAGTCAACAAGGGACCTCACCAGTGTGGCTGGCACATGGGGGGCCCACGCTGTTTTTGGGTTGACTTTTGAGTCGACTCAAAAGTCAACAAGGGACCTCACCAGTGCGGCTGGCACATGGGGGGCCCACGCTGTTTTTGGGTTTACTTTTGAGTCGACTCAAAAGTCAACAAGGGACCTCACCAGTGTGGCTGGCACATGGGGGGCCCACGCTGTTTTTGGGTTGACTTTTGAGTCGACTCAAAAGTCAACAAGGGACCTCACCAGTGTGGCTGGCACATGGGGGGCCCACGCTGTTTTTGGGTTGACTTTTGAGTCGACTCAAAAGTCAACAAGGGACCTCACCAGTGTGGCTGGCACATGGGGGGCCCACGCTGTTTTTTGGTTGACTTTTGAGTCGACTCAAAAGTCAACAAGGGACCTCACCAGTGTGGCTGGCACAGGGGGGCCCACGCTGTTTTTGGGTTGACTTTTGAGTCGACTCAAAAGTCAACAAGGGACCTCACCAGTGTGGCTGGCACATGGGGGGCCCACGCTGTTTTTGGGTTGACTTTTGAGTCGACTCAAAAGTCAACAAGGGACCTCACCAGTGTGGCTGGCACATGGGGGCCCACGCTGTTTTTGGGTTGACTTTTGAGTCGACTCAAAAGTCAACAAGGGACCTCACCAGTGTGGCTGGCACATGGGGGGCCCACGCTGTTTTTGAGTTGACTTTTGAGTCGACTCAAAAGTCAACAAGGGACCTCACCAGTGTGGCTGGCACATGGGGGGCCCACGCTGTTTTTGGGTTGACTTTTGAGTCGACTCAAAAGTCAACAAGGGACCTCACCAGTGTGGCTGGCACATGGGGGGCCCACGCTGTTTTTGGGTTGACTTTTGAGTCGACTCAAAAGTCAACAAGGGACCTCACCAGTGCGGCTGGCACATGGGGGGCCCACGCTGTTTTTGGGTTTACTTTTGAGTCGACTCAAAAGTCAACAAGGGACCTCACCAGTGTGGCTGGCACATGGGGGGCCCACGCTGTTTTTGGGTTGACTTTTGAGTCGACTCAAAAGTCAACAAGGGACCTCACCAGTGTGGCTGGCACATGGGGGGCCCACGCTGTTTTTGGGTTGACTTTTGAGTCGACTCAAAAGTCAACAAGGGACCTCACCAGTGTGGCTGGCACATGGGGGGCCCACGCTGTTTTTTGGTTGACTTTTGAGTCGACTCAAAAGTCAACAAGGGACCTCACCAGTGTGGCTGGCACAGGGGGGCCCACGCTGTTTTTGGGTTGACTTTTGAGTCGACTCAAAAGTCAACAAGGGACCTCACCAGTGTGGCTGGCACATGGGGGGCCCACGCTGTTTTTGGGTTGACTTTTGAGTCGACTCAAAAGTCAACAAGGGACCTCACCAGTGTGGCTGGCACATGGGGGGCCCACGCTGTTTTTGGGTTGACTTTTGAGTCGACTCAAAAGTCAACAAGGGACCTCACCAGTGTGGCTGGCACATGGGGGGCCCACGCTGTTTTTGGGTTGACTTTTGAGTCGACTCAAAAGTCAACAAGGGACCTCACCAGTGTGGCTGGCACATGGGGGGCCCACGCTGTTTTTGGGTTGACTTTTGAGTCGACTCAAAAGTCAACAAGGGACCTCACCAGTGCGGCTGGCACATGGGGGGCCCACGCTGTTTTTGGGTTGACTTTTGAGTCGACTCAAAAGTCAACAAGGGACCTCACCAGTGTGGCTGGCACATGGGGGGCCCACGCTGTTTTTGGGTTGACTTTTGAGTCGACTCAAAAGTCAACAAGGGACCTCACCAGTGTGGCTGGCACATGGGGGGCCCACGCTGTTTTTGGGTTGACTTTTGAGTCGACTCAAAAGTCAACAAGGGACCTCACCAGTGTGGCTGGCACATGGGGGTCCCACGCTGTTTTTGGGTTATCCGGAGCTTTTTGGGCACCAGTCTGAGAGTTTCAATTTTTTAGAAAGCTGGCAGTTTCTGACAAAGTCCATGTTATCTGCTCGAATATCCTTCCATGCACTTGTTTTACACACTACACACGCTCACATGCACACTCACACACGCAGACACAAGCACACTCACACACGCACGCTCACATGCACGCTCACACACAGACACATGCACACTCACACACACACTCTCACATGCACGCTCACACACACATGCTCACATTCACGCTCACACACACACACTCACATACACTCTCACATATACACACGCATATTCACTCTCTTTCAACCACATCCACTCCCACTCTCCAGGTGATGGGCAAGGGCGAGGAGCAAGGGGTGATCAAGATCGCACACACACACATTGAACCACAATAAACCACAATAAACCACATTCAACCACATTCAATCACATGCACTCACCCCCTCCAGGTGATGGGCGAGGGCGAGGAGCAAGGGGTGATCAAGATCGGTGACTTTGGCCTTGCCCGCATCTTCCAGTCGCCGCTACGACCACTCTCCGACAATGGGGTGAGTTGAGCGGAGTGAGTTCAAGTCAAGGCCGTATGATATAGCGCAATTGGGTGACTGATGGCCCATTGATACGTCAATTTGGTGTGACTTATCTCTTTGGTGAAATCTCTGATTGACGTTTCACATATTTTCTTCCCAAATAGTGGTTGCTCATCGTTCACCTCTCTCCCCAATCCCCACTCGAGTGTTGACCTTCATGTTCTGGCTTTTGAGACGTCTCAAAGGTCGTCTACTTACACATGGATTCTATGTTGATAGAGTTATTGTTGCTTGGAAAGCTTGTTGTAACGTTCGAAAGTTACTTGTTCGCGCGAGGCTCCCAGGGTTACAGCTGGCGAATTGTGCAACTTCAACGACACGCCCCGAGGACTGAAAGTCCAAGTGGTCCAGGTCTTCATTCCTCGGGGCGTGTCGTTGAAGTTGCACAATTCGCCAGCTGTAACCCTGGGAGCCTCGCGGTGGAAGCGGATGATCTCCTGAGGGGCATGGGGGTTTACAGGGTTACCAGGGTTACAGCTGGCGAATTGTGCAACTTCAACGACACGCCCCGAGGAATGAAGACCTGGACCACTTGGACTTTCTAGGTGGATCGGGACTGACTGACCAGATTTCAGCCACAGTTGCTCCAACCTCGATTTTGGTTTCCCGAAACGTTGTGTTTGCCTCAATGCTTCGTTCCCACTCTCTTCTTCATTTCCACTAGCACTGATGAAGGTCTGACTTGGGGCCTGTCCCAGTCAGCCGAAACATGTTTGCGTTTTAATCGCTCTCCTCACTTCCCTTCTGTGCCCAGGTCGTGGTAACCATCTGGTATCGATCCCCGGAGCTGCTGCTAGGCTCGCGGCACTACACGTGCGCTGTCGGTATGTATCTTCTTCTCTTCCCCTGTCTCGCTTCTCCCCACCTCCTTTCATTCAACGCACCTCAAAAGCGTGTGTTGTGCGTACCAACCTCTTCCTCTTCCACCTCCTTTTTCCTGATTCTTCGTCTCTCTGCCCCGTTCTACCACATTTCATTACCCTGTCTGTACCGTCCTCCACCGCGCCACCCTTTCCTGCCAGACATGTGGGCGGTGGGGTGCATATTCGCGGAGCTCCTCACACTCAAGCCCTTGTTCCAGGGCCTCGAGGACAAGACCTCCACTAATGCCTTCCAGGTGCGCGCTCTTCCTGTGTCACTTCTGAGAACTCTCAAAAGTGGCACACGCGGAGCTCCTCACACTAAAGCCCTTGTTCCAAGGCCTTGAGGACAAGACCTCCGCCTTCCAGGTGCGCTGCCTCTGTTCCCCCTCGTGTTCCCCCTCCCCTCCTAATCCCCCTCCTGTTCCTGCCCCCCCTCTTGCCTCTGCCCTTGCTCACCCTCCTGCTCCCCTTCTTCTTCCTCCCCCTCCTGCTCCTCCGCCTGTTCCCGTTCCTCCTCCTCCGCCTACTGCTTCTGCTGGTGTTGGTGTTGTTATACTCCATGGGTGTTAAAAGGTATTCTTCTCTCTCCATGGTTCGTACTGCTTATCTCCATCACTCTTCACACCCCTTTAAGGCGCCTAAAAATAGACCGGTGGTGTGTCATCTCTTTTCATGGCTCGTACTGCTTATCTCCTTCACACTTCGCGCTCCTTTCCCCTTGACCCTTTTCCCTCACCTCTCACTCACACCTCCCTTGAATGGCAGAAGGACCAGCTGGATAAGATCTTCAGAGTGCTAGGTGGGTGTGAGGTGGTGATAGGTGGGTGATAGGTGGTGATAGGCGGTGATAGGAGGGCGATAAGTGGTGCTACGTGGGTGGATGCATGGATGTCAAGTTTGTGCGCAAAGTCATGAGCATTCGGCTGACCACCTACCACAGCCAATTCAACCCCGTACCGCACCTAGCAGGGCAGCGGCCTGCGCACAGGGGACAAAGGCCCCGCTCTGTAGTTGCAAGTTGCGGAACTGCAGAATGGCGCCTTGCCTTTGTCCCCTGTGCGCAGGCCGCTGCTCTGCTAGGTGCGGTACGTTCTCCCTTGTCACAGGCCGGCCCATTGTCCCCCGTGGGATGGCCTGCTGGCCTGCAAGTTGGGTGCTGCACTTCACTCCCCGCCTGTCACAGAAACAGCCTTCCATTTGAACCACATCTCACTCCTCTCAACCACTGTCGCAGTGGCTGCCAGCACCACCCCAATCCCCAGTTCCCTCCGAAACCTCCTCTCACCCCTCTCAACCCCTTCCCACACCCATCAGGCCACCCCACGGTGGACAAGTGGCCAATGCTGCAGTACCTGCCGCACTGGCAGGCCAACCGGCAGCTCATTCAAGACAAGAAGTAGTGAGTTGGTGTGGCTTTTTAGTTTTTTTTCAAGAATGTGCAGAACCCATCTTGTTGCACTGGCAGGCCAACCGGCAGCTCATTCAAGACAAGAAGTAGTGAGTTGGGGGCGGCTCTGGCTGTATCTGAGTCACGTTTGAGAATTCTCACAAGTCACTGGCAGGCCAACCGGCAGCTCATTCACGACAAGTAGTGAGTTACATTGATTGAATCTGGCCAGACCCATTGTTCATCATCCCTGTAAGTGACTTGTTGTTACTGGAATGATGAACAAGGGTTCTGGCTGGCTGGCACAATAAACTGTTGAAGTACCTCAAGAGTGCATGGGATGGATGGGTGCTGAGGTGCTGAACTGCTCTGAGTCTGTCACTTTGCCCAGGCAACGTTTCCTGCCTCATACCATGGCCTATACTGCTCTTACCTTCGAACTCTCCCCTCTTCCCCCTTCCATCCCCTCCCTACCCTTCCGTCATCTCCCTCCCCTCCCATCCTCTCCCTCCCTGCCATTCTCTCCCTTTACTTCCTCTCTTACTATTTACCCTTCGCCTTCCTTCATTGCCCCTCTCTCCATACACCCTTCTCCCCCCTCACCACCCTCACAGCCCCCAGCCGGAGCTTTACCGCATTCTGCACAGCTGGTCTCCATGCCTTCATGCCTTCATGCCTTCATGCCTTCATGCCTTCATGCCCCCATGCACTCGTGCTTTCATGTTCTCATGTGCCCCTCACCACCCTCACAGCCCACAGCCGGAGCTCTACCGCATTCTGCACAGCTGGTCTCCATGCCTTCATGCCTTCATGCCCCCATGCACTCGTGCTTTCATGTTCTCATGTGCCCCTCACCACCCTCACAGCCCACAGCCGGAGCTCTATCGCATTCTGCACAGCTGGTCGCCCAACTCGCATGCCGTCAACCTGTTGCTGCGCATGCTTGAGTGGGTACCTCCCCTGTACCTTACTTGCATGTTCAGTTTGTCCGGGCTTCTCATTTTGTCGCTTGCTTGCTTCGACGCATTATTGCCACCCCGCCGCACGAATGCTCCCAATAAGCCCCTCTTTCCCCTCCCTTGCCCTGTCCTGTGCTGGCTCGCTCCCCAAGCAACAAGCCTTGCTGGGTGCGCTGGCTCATTGCCTCATTCTTCCAACAAACAACAAGGCCCTTTCTCTGTCACCTATGACTCTATCTCCCCCTGCCATGCCCTGTGTTGTGCAGCTATGACCCGAAGAAGCGGATAACAGCAGGGCAGGCACTCGAGCACGAGTGAGTGCATTCAACTGTTGTAAGCTCACGTGCAATTTGGTTCGAGTGAAAGCACTTGAGCAGAAGGGGGTCTACATGCTCTCCCATCTTTCTTCTCCCTTCTCCCTTTTCCTTTCTCCCGCCCCTCGCTTCTCTCCAGCCCGTCCTTCCCCACTCTCACCCTCCTCAACCTTTATCTCCTCTCCCCCACCCTCTTCCCCCTGCTGTCCAACTTCCCCCCCCATGCCAGGTACTTCCGCATTGACCCTCTTCCAGGCCGCAAGTCAGTTCTCTCTACCCATGATCCTCCGTTCTCCACACTCCTTACTCCCCCACACTCCTCTCTTCCCCATGCTCCATTCTTCCCGATGCCCCTCTCTCCCACACCACCCTCTCCTTGATCGCTTGGTCCCTAACTTCCTCATTCCTCTTTGCAAGGCACTCCCGCTTGTATCATATGTCTCTTGTTCCACCTATCGTTTCCCCTCTCCATCCCCTTCTCATCCCCTCACCCCCGGTCCCCCCCTCCCCCCTCATCTTTTCCTCTCCGATACTCTCCAATCCTTGTCTCCTCACCTCATAGAATGTCCTGTGGCTATGCTGTACCTTGACTGTCCAAATCCCTGTGCATCCCTCCCTGCTCCCACCCTCCTTCTCCCCTTCCGCCCTCCTTCCATCCTTCCGTCCCCCTCAGCTCATTCTTTTCAGGCCCAGTGGTCTACCCGCAGCACCATCACTTTTTCCCTCACCTCACCTCGTCCCCTTCCCCCCCTCCCTTTCTCGCCCCTTCTTCACCCCACCCCAGCTCGTTCTTCTCAGGCCACCCCATGGAGCGGCCAGTGGTGTACCCCAAGCGCATGCCAGTTCCCTGTTCCCCTAACCCTGTGCCCCCTTATCCTTCCCCCCTCTGTCCACCTCTCTCTCAGCTCCTTCTTCTCAGGCCACCCCATGGAGCGGCCAGTGGTGTACCCCAAGCGCCCTGTGGACCTGTCAACCGACTTTGAAGGCATCTCCACCCTCTCCTCCGCTGCTTCCTCCTCGCATGTCGCTTCCCTCTCTGCCATGCCTCCACCGCACCAGCAGCACCATCACCATCAGCAGCAGCACCATCAGCAGCAGCAGCAGCACCATCAGCAGCACCATCAGCAGCAGCAGCAGCATCAGCAGCAGCAGCATCAGCAGCAACAGCAGCAGCAGCAACACCATCGGCACCATCAGCAGGTGGGTGGGTGTGCATGGCTATGATGACAAATACGCTTAGCCTGTTTTTCGTTTAACGTTTATGCGTTCACGTATAAACGCAAAAACGTGAAACGGGGACAAATGCGCGATACGAAAAGCCGGGCAGACAAAAAAAAAAAAAAAAAAATCGCGCGTTTTCAGTACGCACGTATACCGACATTTAAAACTCGCGATTTTTCCTATCAGGGGACGTGCAAAACCGAGTCGCCACGTTCACCCCACGTACATCACCCCACCTCAACACAATTCTCATCCAGTTCTTTCGAGCATCCCTTTTGTTCTCTGTTGAGTTATGGCTACTCCAGTCCCATCTCCCGACACTCAGCCTACTGACCCGTCAGCCTCGACCTCGGAGGCGCAATGGCAGGAGGAGGATAGTACGCATATCGTTTTCAAGCATTTCAAGGTTCCGATCCGCCCCAACACCGTCGGCGCTGTCCGCGTTTGCAAGTATTGCGCCATCGAGTTCAAGGGTGGTGCGTTTCGATGCGCTCAGCATCTCGCGAAATGGAAGGGACAGAAATCGCGCGACGTCCGCCTGTGCTCGAAGGTTCCGTCCGACGTGCGAGCGGCGGTGCGCGCGCATTACGAGAAGAAGGCAACCGGCCGCGATGAGAAAAGGAGGGCCGAAGAGGCTGCGCTCGAAGCTGTCGTGGGAGGTTCGAAGAAAGGCCGCATCACCGACTTCCTTGGCGACGAGGCGAAATGCAAGAAGGGCGAGGCGGACGACTCCGTCTGCATGTTCTTCGTCGGCTGTCGCATTCCCGAACACCACGCTGACAACCCGTTGTGGCGCAACATGGTCAGGGCCATTAACAACGTAGGCCCCGGTTATGTCGCGCCGCGCCGTCGCTACGTGGGAGGGGCTGGGCTGAAGCTTTGCCGTCGCTACGTGGGAGGGGCTGGGCTGAAGCTTTGCCGTCGCGAGCTGGAAGAGGGATGGCGTCACCGTCTCCTCGGACATGATGACCGATCGGAACGGGAGGCCGCAGGCGAACGTCATGCTGATCAACGATTCGGGAGCGGTGTTTGTCGAGGCTATCAATTGCAAGATGGAGTAAAAAACCGGCGACTACATCGCGTCCCTCCTCCGCCCCATCATCGAGAAAGTGGGGCCTGAAAACGTAGTCGCCCTTTGCATGGACGGGGGCTCCAACTACGGGGCCGCCTGCAAGGAGCTCATGGCGGAGTGGCCGCACATCGAGTACGTGTCGTGCGCTACGCACGTGCTCGACCTCCTGATGGAGGACGTGGGCCGTATCCCGTGGGCGAAGGAGCTTGTGGATCGGGGGACCGACATGATCAGCTACGTCCGCAACCACCAGTTCACCCGCAACTACCTGAGGAGTGGGGCGGTGCAGGGAGGAAAGGGGAAGCAGCTTGTGAAGCCGGCGGGAACCAGGTTCGGCACCAACTACATCGCCCTCTCAAGGCTGTGCAAGCTGCGGTCCACATTGGCTCAGATGGTGCTGAGCGAGGAGTACGGCAACTGGGCGATGGGGGCACGGAAGCTGACGGCGGATACCTTCCGTGGCCACGTCATGGACGACGAATGGTGGAAGAATGCAACGTACCTGGTGGAGCTCTTGGCGCGTCCGTTCAAGGTGATGTGGGCCACGGACAGCAGCGCGAAAGGCATAATGGGCACCATCTATGACCTTATGCTCCAGCTGACCGAGGACATGAACACCAAGCTGGAGGCGGGGGAGAAGATTCTGACGCGGGCGGATGCGGCTGAGATAGGGAGGATTGTTAGGCGCCGTTGGGACGAGAGCCTCGCTTTCGCTCTTCACGTCGTTGGCCGGATCCTGAACCCGGCAAATCAGGAAGAGGGTATATTCTGCAACGATGTGGAATGTACCCGCATCTTCAAGGCATTCATCGCACGTCACTACGACGGCAAGAGCTTCACCAACAAAGACGGTGAGGAGAAGCGGGCCTCTCTTGTTTTGCAAGAGGGGCTCACGGCCTTCCTCACCCTTGAAGGATCCTTCGGCAACCCTGAGGCAATTGCCGACAGGGAGGCCGTGAAGGCAGGCAAGCACTCGATGGTGCAGTGGTGGGGATGGCACGGGACTGACCACCCCCACCTGGCCAGCCTTGCGTGCCGTGCCCTGACACAGCCGGTGTCAGCCTCGCCGTGTGAGCGCGGGTGGGCAACGTGGGAGTCGGTGCACACTGCCCGCCGCAACAAGCTAGGCTCGGAGAAACTCCGGGACCTAGTTTATGTGGCCCACAACTGGCATGTGGTCCACAAGTACCACAAGAGGGCTGAGTCACTGGCGGTGCTTCCGGGCACCATCCCTGAACCCGCTCTGCCGGAGGGATACAAGGAGGAGGAGGAAGGGGAGGAGGAGGAGGAGGAGGAGGAGGTGGAGGGGGATGAAGCCGTGCTGGCCGATGAGTACGTGGAATAAGAAAGGCAGCAGCAGGGTAAGTGGTTGACGAGGCGACGAGCATGAGGAGTAGAGGAGGAGGAGAAGGAGATGAAGGTTTGGGGAGTAGGGGAGTTTGGGGAGGTATCAGACAAGTAGTTGCTTGTATGTGTGTACTTGCAATGCATGTTTGTAATAGGGAAAACAAAATCATAAGTGGGAAAAAAAACACCATGGCAAAGTCACACTGAACATAGGCGTCATGACTCACCCCCTGATACTTTTTTTCCCCTGCCCGAAACTTTTTTCCCCTGCCCGGGCGACCGTATTTTGAGCGTATCGTGGGGCGGAAATCCCCCGTCTCACATTCGTACGTGGGCGTATAGTTCCAGTCGCGTATATTCCAATATAGGTGGATGGGTGTGCATGGTTGTGCATAGGTGTGCGTGCATAGGCGTGCATGGGCGCGAGTGTGGGTATGCATGAAGGGTTGGGCTCGTTTTCATGCCACTATGTCGCCATGCCCCATACCATCCATGCATCCATGCCCGATACCATCCATGCCCCATACCTCCCCATACCATACATCCCCCATACCATCCATGCCCCATACCATCCATGCCCCATACCACCCATGCCCCATTCTCCACCTCCCATGCCCCACCCGTCCCCCCACCAGCCATCAGCGCCAGGGCAGCGCATGGCCAACGTCACTCTGCTGCACCAGTCAGCACCAACCAAGTCCTCATTTGGTTTCCATTTCCCCTACCCCATTCCCACCTCCAATCCCCCACCCCTCCCCCCAACAGCCATCAGCCCCTGGGCAGCGCATGGCGAATGTCACTCTGCTGCATCGGTCAGGGTCAGGAGGAGGGGGCGGGGGAGGGGAGGGGAGTGCAGGTGCCGTGGGCAGTGGCGTGGGGAGCAGGGGTGGGGGGCAAGGGGCAGGGGGGAGTCAGCAGGGGCAGCAGGGGTATCAAGGGCAGCAGCAACAGCACAATCAGCCGCATCACAGCCAGCAGCAGCACAACCAACAGCAGGTTTCGCAGGGACAGATGCAGCAGCAGCACCATTTTCACCCTCCCTCTCAGGTATGTGGCCCCGTCGAACCCACTGCATGTGTTCATGTGGACCGTGCATGTTCTATATGTCATGTATGCTATGGATTGTGCATGCAATGCCACATCATGATGCCATCACATTCGTCATCCTCCTTTCCTCCATCCCCATGCCGTCATGTTTATCCTCCTTTTAACCGTCCCCATCATGTTTACCCTATCCTCCGCCCCTAAGCCATCACATTTATCCCAATTTTCCTCATGTTTATCCTCCTTGACCAAAACCCCCTCTCACCTACTCGCTTCAAAACCACTTGCAATCTGCAGCCGCGCAGCACAAGGGAGAGGAGCGGGTTGGCACACGGGCAGCCCGCCACCAAGATTCGCCGCATTTAGACGTCAGTCCACACGTGTACATTAACATGTATAGCATATTTTGCTCATCTTCGAGATTAAAGCTATCCAATCATATTGAAAAAAAAATAGCACAATCACACAGAAATAATGAAAAAATAACTAAAAGCTAAAAGTTTTGACATTTTTTACTACACTCGAATGTACCCTTAGAAGAGGTCTATGATGTCTTACCGAGCTTCATTGGTTCATGTTTTAAACGCGGATATTGAGTTTCTAATCTGCTTCGTCCGCCCAGATATTGCGAATCAGGTCGAAATAAGTCGCAGATTATAAATCCAGTCGCGTTCATACGACAGCCCGCGTTAGTTTCGACCAGCCACGCGAGTAGTTCGCCGTAGATCGATAATCCCGTGACTCATTCGGGCAGCAGCGATACTCAATTACAGCGACACGTGGCAGCGAGCGAATTGAATTTTGTGTCGACTGGAAAAGCGCCGAGCGAATCGTTGATCAGCATTACGTCGATTACTCGTATCGTGACAATGGGTATTCTGAGAATATTGTAGATGGTTTGCGTTACAGGCCTTTAGCCTCGTCAGAAAACAAGCCAGCGGGTTCCGATCAGTGTCTGTGCGATGTTTAAAAAGAAGAACTTCCGTCGCAGGCAGGACGACGACGGCGGCGGCGACGGCGGCGGCGGCGGGGGCGAAGGCGATGCGAGAAACGGCGGGACGACCGTCGCGAAACCCGCGCCGGCTGCAAAAGCCGCCGCTTTAAAGACCAGTAACAAACCTAAGGCGCCTACGGCTACGACTAAGGCGACACCGTCGAGCCTGCTGAGCTTCGCAGCCGACGAGGAGGGAGAGGGCGACGACGGCGGGCCGTTCGGCATGGCGATCGCCGTGGGGGGGAGATCAAAACCTAGTTCGAAAGAATCCAAGTCGAAATCCAGATCGGCGGGGTTCGGTACGGGGCATGGGGAGGGGCATAGGGTGAACAGGGATAAGAAGGGCCGGGAGGAGCGGAAAGGGCGGGAGGAGAAGAGGGAGGGCGGCAAGGGAGGCGGCGGAGTGGTGGTGGGCGGGCCGTCCGCTGGCGGCGCGCTGAACGTGGTGCCGCAATCGGGGGAGTACACCAAAGAGAAACTCGCTGAGCTGGCGGTATGCACACCCCTCCCCTCACCTACTCCCACTTACCCCCTTCCCCTTCCCCCTCTCCCCCCGCCCCCTTTTTGTCCCTCTTCAATCGGGGGAGTACACCAAGGAGAAACTCGCGGAACTGGCGGTATGTATTATCCCCCCCCTTCCTCATATTCACACATAACCCCCCCTCCCCCCTCCCGCAATCGGGGGAGTACACCAAGGAGAAACTTGCTGAGCTGGCGGTATGCACACTCCTCCCCTCCCCCTCTCCTCTCCCCCCTTCTCCCCGCTCTCCCCCCTCTCTCCCCCTCGTCCAGTGATGCGCTTCAAGAACCCTTTGGTTTATTGCATGAGTGGCTGCATGCATGAGTCGCCATTGACCCTCGGTTCACTTCTGTCGTCTCATTGGGGCAATCCCGCATTGCACCTCCTTGCCCCTCCCCTGTCTTCTTCCCACCATCTCCTTCCCACTCCTCTCACTGCCCCACTGTGTTCTGGGTGCTCCCTCCCCTCCCACCTTCCCGTTCTCTCCCCCCCTCCACCTCCCCCGCCTTCCCCCGGCCACCCCTGCCCCCAGCGCAACACCATGCGCATTGCAGCGCCTTCTTCCGCCTCCAGGCGCACCCCCCCTCCCCCTTCCGCCTCCGTTGCTGCAGCAGGCGCAGCCCTCTCCGCCTCCGCGCCCCCCTCCTCCACAGTCACCCCGCCCTCCCTCTCCGAACCTCTCATCGTGCTTCGGGGATCACTCAAACCCGCAGGCTCGGCAGCCGCCGAAGCAGAGGCCGGAGCTAGTGGTTCGGGTGCAGCAGGTTCGGCAGGCGCGGCAGCAGGAATGGGAGGATTGGGAGGAATGGGAGGAGGCCTAGGAACAAGCTTAAGAAAGGCAGGGGGTAGTTATATTGGTGGAACTTTTATCCCAGACGCTGCTGCTATAGCAGCGGCAAAGGCAAAGAGAGAGAGACTAAGACAGGCTAAAGCAGCACCAGATTTTATCCCCCTTCCAGGGTCTGATAGATCTGATATGGCCGGGCTAGGGAGTATGAGGGGGGTGGAAGACGAAATGGGGGAAGAGGAGGGGGAGAAGGGGAAGGGGGAGCAGTCGAGCGAGGATGAGGAGGAGGCGTTGGGGGGGAGAGTGGCGCTTGGGGGGGTGTTGGGGGGAGATCGGGGGAGTGGGCGGGGGAGGGGAGGGAAGGGGAGGGGAGGGAGTGGAGAGGTGAACGGGGAGCGGCGGAGAGGGGGGGGGATGGGGGAGGAGGAGGAAGTGGAGGAGGAGGAGAGGGAGAAAGCTGCAGAGGAGGATGAGGAGGAGAGGGCGTGGGAAGAAGAGCAGTTGCGCAAGGGAGTGGGTCGAATGGCGTCTGTGCCAGGAGCCACAGGGGGAAAGGACGGGGGAATGGGGGCGAAAACAGGGGGGGAGAAAGGGGGCGGTGTGGGGGCGATGGGGGGAGGGGGAGAGGAAGGAGGGCGGAGTGCAAGCGAGGTGTTTTCAGGGGTGATGAGGGCAGGCGCGTGGGGGTATGGGGGGGCAGGAGGGGGCGTAGGGGGGATGGGAGGTGCAGGGTCGATAGTGGCGGAAGGGGATGAAGTGATGAAGTTCCTGAGAGAAGGCCTTGCGAGACTGCAGGTGTGTGCTCTTAACGACTGTGGTTGACCGCAGGGGGGATGGGTGGGGCAGGGCTGATAATTTGATCATGACGGAAGGGGATGAAGTGATGAAGTTCCTGAGAGAGGGCCTTGCGAGACTGCAGGTGTGTGCACTTGACGAATGGGACTGAAATTCCCTCAATGGATGGGATTCAAACGAGTGTGATTCAAACAGTTGCCTATCAACCTGCTGCATACTACTCCTGTGCACCCTAAACCTCACTCTCCACCACTCTACACCATGCTGCACCACACTCTCAACAGCTCCATGCCACCAAGGACCACTCTCTCTCCACCACTTCATACCGTCCTTCACCATTCACCACTGTCCATCACCCGCACCTCTCCCCACACCATTCCCACACCACTCCACGCCACCCCTTCCCTGTGTCCCCAGGCCTCGCAGTCCAAGGCTGAGCGGGAGGCTCGGGAGGCGGAGGATCGGCTGGTGGCGGCAGCGGACGAGGTGTTGGAGCTGGAGAGGGCGATGAAGGGCGCTGAGGGCAAATACCGCTTCGTGCAGGACCTGCGGCAATACGTGGCCGTGCTCTGTGACTTCCTCAAGGTGAGGTTGGCTCCTGGCGGCTTCTGACAGCTGTGAGAGCAGCTTCGTGCAGGGCATGCCGTAGCACGTCGTCGTGCTTTATGACTCCTGCGACTGTGAGTTTCGAGGGCACTGCGGGGCAGCAGTAAGGAGATAAGTAGGTTAGTCCTTGAATGCACTCCCTCGAAAGCCCTCCTCCTCCCCGTCTCCCTTGTCATATCAGGGCCGTCTCGGTCTCGCTTGTCACATCAGGGCAACGCGAAAGAGGAGCTGGAAGAGTCACTGCAGCAGCAG